TGCTCTCTCAACTATACAGACTATGTTCATTGTGTGATTCGGAAGAACGTACGGCCGCCGGATAATAACGCGACCGCTTCCGAATAGGCTTACGAATGTAAGGGGCTCTAGCGGCCACTAATTAATTTAATCTACATATAAGAAGCCGGCGGAATCACATCTGATAGCATGTCTAAAAATCAGTGAGAAGTACAGGCTTCTCTGAGATGTGATAATTTCATCTATGAAGCAATTTGTAGTTATTATATCAGAGTAATTCTAAAAACACCTCAGAATAGAAGTGTATGAAGAAGTGATGAGTGAAAGAGTATTCAATTGATACTGCTCTGCTTGTTGAGAGAAAACTTCACACTCAGACAAATATCACATATGCAAACATAATAAGATGTGAGAAAAGAGAATGAAGACAGTGAACACTGATTCAAAGAAGTTCACTCTCTACTTAGAAGAATAAAAGAAGAATGACTATTATCAGAATTGTACAACTGTAACAGAAATCATAGAATGATAGACACTGTATAATTAATAAAAAATCTTCTCCAATAAACATCTCTTCTAATTAATATGAATAACACTCTTCTCTGCTGTCTGAACTGAAGAATATACAGGATCTTCTGAAAGATTTACTTAAAGCATGCATAGATTTCAAGGACAGAAATCCTTGTGTGCAACAACGGCAGCGGCGTACCTGGGTCGTATTTGCAACAGGGCCATCTCGAGGGGACTCGGTCTCGTGCGGCCGACCGAAGATCTCTGTGATGCCATGGAATCTGGAAATGATGGCGTGGGTAACAGGGAACAAGCGGCGAAACAATAAGCAAAACATGGGAATCGCTAATATATATATATCGCCTAAACATATATGCAATAGTGCAAGAACCCGAAGGCTGCTGATTACCAATGCCACGATGATGCAGTGAAAAAATTTCACAAGAAAAGAAATATATATCAGGGAAACGAGCCCCTGATGCATGTTCTGTGAATATACCATGTGCAGAAACACCGATGTATTTCAAATCTAACCATCTATGCCACGAGACATCGGTCCGACGCGCCCCTTCTATGCAGCATCAGTCCTTTACCTCAAAACAGGAAAGTAGACCCCCCAAAAAAAATCTATATTCCTCACTGAAAAAAAAAAAGAAAAAGAAAAAAAAAAGAAGAAAGGCGAAAGGAATGTAAAGGGCCGAGGGGAGAAGCAACATATTAAATCACTGCAAAGCATTCGAGATCTCAATCTCCACCTTTCCATTGAAGCCCTTCAGTGTAACACTCCGCAGATCCTGAACGATCCAATCTGCGCCAGCCTCCTTGAGCTGTTCAATCTTATGCGTCGACGTGAGGGCGACGACCTTGAAGCCCGCCGCCTTGCCAGCCCGGATACCCGAAGGCGCATCTTCAATCACCAGCATCTCAGCCCCATCTCCCAGTCCAAGCCGGGAGCGGCCCAGCAGGTAACATCGCGGATCTGGCTTGCCAACCTCCACATCTTCGGCAACAACCATGTACTTGGGGTGCGCGAGTTTCATGACCTCCAGCCAGCCATGGACAAGCGCTTTGGTCCCTGAAGTAACCACAGCCCAGAGGGCGCCAGCTTCGTCTAAGGAGTCTAACAGTTGTCGTGCTCCAGGTATTTCCACCGCGTCTCTGCCATCCTCCCTGGGGATTCGGCCTTCAACGTAACTCACGTCTAGTATATTTATTAGTCAGTCAGGGGAAATGGAAGAAAGCGTGTGATACATGATAGCCTTTGGAGCTGTGCACTTACATTCCCAGTTAGCTTTTTCCGGAGCAATGATTTGCAGGACATCTATGCTTCTTCGTCCGTGGGATGTCTTCAGAATAACTTCAGGATCTAAGTTCAATTCAGCACCTAGTCTGAATTTTGACAAATACAAATCAGCACGGGGAAAGCTCCGCAAATGGTCCCCCTTTCCCCCTCCTCCCAAGATCTCATTATGATGCGATCGCTCTCTAATCAGTCACATAATATATACAATATCGACAATAAACGCATAAATATAGGAGAGATCTGTGACGATTCAATCGGGATGTTAACTAAACATGTACGAACCTGTGCCAGTGCTTGACAATCGCTATATAGGTCAAATCAGCACAATGCGCTTCAAGTAGACTAGACCCAGAACCCCGAGTTGAGTACTAGGGAGGGCGGAAAGAGGGAATAAAGGGCCATAGCCAACCAGGTGTCGAATCTATAATAGTGCCATCAAAATCAAAGAGGAGCCCGTCAAATGAAAAGGTTTGCGCCGGTGCAGTAAATGTCTCTGGCGAGGAGGATCCCATGGTGGTGATGGTGGGGTGGGTGCGCTGCTAATGTTTGAAGATTTGTAACGACTTCTAGGGGTATACTTGAAATTCGGAGAAATGTCTCAACAAAGATAACTGAAATATCTAACACCCTTATATACATACCCCTTGAAATATTCCTTTTCATCTGTTTTGCTGTGTTATTCCAAGTTATCTGTCCCCCGCGTTTCCCGAATTAGATCTGATAAAAGTTTCAGGCTAGCTGATTAGTCATGACAACATTCGGATATATATTCCCCCGATAAAGACCGTTCTTGGCGCTCGAAATCTTGGCGTCTTTGCTCCACACAAAAATGTTTGATAGTGAAGACGAGACACGGAGGAGCGAAGAAAAGGCAGACAGCATTATCGGTGCTCTCCTTTTCTCGAACACAAACATTAATTTCTTTTCTTGACTAATTTTGGAAGCAGAGACTTTTCAAAATGGTCAAGCTTGGTATAACTGCCTACTTCAAAGTTCCTATTTTGACGCTGAAAAGCCACAGCTTGACCAAGTACTAACGTCGTTATTTTTTTTTTTCCTTTACAGGCAAGAAGTCCAAGCGCACGCCGGTAAGGCTGCGGCATAAGATTGAGAAGGCCAGTGCAGCGAAACAGAGGAAATCAAGAAAATTGGCGAAAAAGGTATATTTTAACCGAGTCCTGGGTGCGGATATTGCTGTTCAGCGGTGTATAGATTCTCTCCAGTTGCCATCAACCAGCTAACGATTGGTCTTTCCATTTATTTCAGAACCCTGAATGGCGGTCAAAACTAAAGAAGGATCCCGGTATTCCCAATCTGTTCCCCTATAAAGATAAGATCCTCCACGAAATTGAAGAGAAGAAGCGGTTGAAGGAGGAGGAAACCCGGCGCATACGGGAGGAAGCTAGGAGGGCTCGTCAAGGCGGCGCGGAGGATTTTCAAGATGCGCAACTGGAGGACGAAGACATTTTGGACCAGGACGATGATTTGATAGATGATGATATGGACCAGGATGTTGACGAGTCGAATCCCATGGCTGCATTGCTTGCCTCCGCTCGGGCGAGAGCGGCTGAGTTTGACGGCGAAGACGACGATGATGAAATGGATGAGGATGACATGGATGAAGATGACGACGATGAGGATGAGGATGGTGGTGCTCCTTTGGATGACTCGATGGATACGACCTTTGAGAAGTCAGCGCCGAAGGAGACTTCGAGACGGGCATTTGACAAAGTATTTAAGCAAGTCGTTGCTGCCGCAGACGTCGTATTATACGTTCTTGACGCTCGAGACCCAGAAGGTACAAGATCAAAAGAAGTTGAAAGAGAGATCATGGCTGCAGATGGGGGATCCAAGAGACTCATTTTAATTCTGAACAAGATCGATCTTGTTCCACCGCCTGTTTTGAAAGGCTGGATGCTCTACCTTCGACGATATTTCCCTACCCTACCATTAAAGGCGTCAACAGGTGCTCCAAACGCCCACAGTTTTGATCACAAGCAATTGACAGTCAAAAGCACGTCGGAAACTCTGTTCAAAGCTCTGAAGTCTTACGCCCACAGCAAGCAATTGAAACGTTCAATATCCGTCGGTGTCATAGGATACCCTAACGTCGGCAAATCCTCTGTTATCAATGCACTCACTGCGCGCCTAAACAAGGGCTCTTCCTCGGCATGTCCAGTTGGTGCTGAGGCCGGAATTACCACCAGTATCAGAGAGGTAAAGCTCGACAGCAAGCTGAAGCTCATCGACTCACCCGGAATAGTATTCCCCAACGCAGAAAAGGGGAAGAAGAAATCATCCAAGAAGATCAATGAGGAAGCTCGCCTTGTCCTCCTCAACGCCATCCCTCCCAAACAAATTTCAGACCCTATCCCCGCCGTCACCCTCCTTCTACAACGACTCTCTTCCACACCTGCCCTCCTCTCCAAAATGCTCGATGTCTATGGCATCCCTCCCCTTTTCCCTACCGATGGAGACAAGACGAATGATTTCCTAATCCAGGTTGCCCGAAAGCGAGGCCGGCTTGGTAGAGGTGGTGTTCCAAATATCAACAGCGCGGCAACGACGGTTATTACCGATTGGCGGGACGGACGTATTCAGGGATGGCTTGAGGCCCCCGTTATTCCAGGAGCTACTTCCTTGCCTGCTGCAAATGGCCCCAGTAACATGGCTGCGGTGAGCGGTGCAGATACCAAACAGATTGTCAAGGAATGGGCAGAGGAATTCAAACTGGAGGGTCTATGGGGTGATGGCGTCCAACTGGATGACGAGATGGTTGTGGAGTAATCCCCTTTTTCTACTATATCATTTATTGTTTTCTTTCCTTACTGTGTATTCGAACGGATATCAAAAAGGCGCTTTTTGAGGTATATTGCAATTGCTTAGACGGTTTTCAGGGATAAGTCATTAATGTTATTTACTAGGATTACGAGAATATATACCTACTATTTTTATGCAATCTACTTCTAATGACTCTTTATATGTCATTTCTTCTCTGCACACGGGAGAAAACACGTTTATGGATACTGAATCCGATTTCCGCTCAACATTGATTTCCGACTTCGAATCGACCCCTTCAACCTTTTAAAAAGCTATAATCATGAAGTAAATAAAATACATTCAAAATATATATAAATTAATATAATACGGTAGATTCTTATCAGGCATGGGATATTTATATGAGTTGAAAAAAGATACATCGTTAGTACGCAAAAAGCCTGAGCCGCCGAAAAACGCGTATTTATTTATCGATATCTCTCCGCCATATCATATTAAATAATACAACACCACGCACATCTCTTCCACATTATCCCCTACCGCCTTCAACGACGACAGAGAGAAAATAAAATATCCGTCAAACGCTATTGTAACCGAATCAATTAAATCACAATATCTCTTACACCGGCAAGATTGCACAGTGATTCGCGTATCCCCGCTCCTCCGACCTCCCCCTATCTACACACGCGTGAATTAAAGAGAGTCGGAAAATATTACAACCTCCCCCTCCCTCTCTCCCTCCCGAAATAATCGAGTCCACGGCCAAAACAAAAACCTTCACACTCAGCTATATCTCCCAAGTCGTATATATTTATACAGTAATATATATATTTGCCCACGTCCTACACACCCTCCCAAATGCCGCCGCGGAAATCCTCGTCTTCCGCCGCAGAGGCCAGCAGTCATGATGAAGAACAGAACGCGGTAGCGGAGGGCTCGAAAACAACCGGGAGTGGTGCGGACCCTATTGAAACCGGTGTAAATGTTGAGGTGAGATTTTATATATCCAGCCTGTAACCAACCTGTTAATTGCTTGCTTGCTGGCTTGTTTCCTCTCCTCGTGTTGTTTGGCCTCCGTGTCTTGGTGACCCCATCGGTGCGTGCATGTGGATGATGATGCGCTGGGGTGGAAATGGAAATTAACGGGATAATCCGACATACCTTTTACCTAGCTATCCGCGAAAAGAGTATTGCTTAGAACGAGAAAGCTGATATGTTTCGAAAATATATATGGATCGAATGTACAGGACTACCTCCTCCCGCGAGCTCTCACACAACGATTGGCAAAGAGTGCTTTGCCTCCGAATACCTCAATACAGAAAGATGCGTTGCTAGCAATATCCAAGGCCGCCACGGTATTCGTCTCGTATCTCTCATCACAGTACGTTATCCTGCCACCTTGTTGGGGAATCACCTATATATATCTGAGACGGCTCCCCTAGCCTATGTCCCATTCTATTATATAAAGCCCTTGCTCTACGTCTTTATCCCGACCCCGGCTTCAAATTCCCACTTCCCCTTCTTTCCAAAAAAAAGGCCTTAACTAACCCACCACCCGTAGCGCAAATGAAGAAACCGAAAAGAAAACCATAACCCCACAAGACGTCTTCGCCGCCCTTTCCCAGATAGAATTCGAAGCTTTCCTCCCGCGCCTCGAGCGCGAATTAGCCGTGTATACTGAAGCCGCAGCGCAGAAGCGGAGGGTGAAAAAGGATCGCAAATCTGCCGCCACCGTTGCGACGACAGGGGTAGGAGCTGGCGTTGGTGCGGCGGGGGTCGTTTCTGCTGCGGATGAAAGTGAAGATGATGATGAGGGTGGGAGGGGAGAACCAGGTGCTAAGCGGCTGAAGCGAGATGGCGAGGGTAGCACGGAGATGGCGATTGGGAGGTCGAGGCCTGGCGTTGGTAGCGGGAAGGGGGTGGAGGGGGAGGGGAGGGGTGGAGGGGATATTGCTGGTGATGGTGATGGTGGTGATGATGAGACGGAGGAAATGGAGGAGGAGGATGTGTTGGATGATGACGAGGAGGAGGAGGAGGAAGGAGAAGAGGAGGAGGAGGAGGAGGAGGAGGAAGAGGAGACGCAGCACAGTGGGCGGGATGGGGATGAGATTGATATCGATGCTGATGCGAGTGATACGGCTAGGAGGAGGAGGGGAGGGATGCATCCGGACCTAGATTCGGGGAGTGATAGTGATAGTGATGGGCTGTGATTTGGGTATTTATGGGTTCTAAGGTATTTAAGGTATTGGGTTAGATGTACTTGGCCAGCCTTTTTTTCTCATGTTTGTTTGCCTTTGGTTCTTTGTTATCGCGTTAGTTTTCCTTTTTGCTCCCCGTGTTAAGCTTTACTATCACTACCATTATTTGTAGTTGTTGACTTAGTTGCGAGGATAATGGCTGTGTGTGATGCGGGTTAAATCAACCACGGTGGTCCTATCACTTCAGATACATATTTCTCTCTTGGTATTATTATTACCCTATCATTATCACTATTTCTATTATGGATCAAATATGCCATCCCACCCATAGTATCTCGTTCCGGAGTATCAGAATGTTTGCATAAAATAAGCCGATGCCATTTTCGTGGTAACTTCGCATATCATTGCAAGTTAATGCCATAGTAACTAAACGCCGCCACATCCGCTCTGTATAGGACGACCTAAAGGTGTAAGATATGCTAGTAATCGCAAGCATAGGGTCACTGAGGACGGGCCTATTCACCGCCACGATATTCAATGTGAAGAGCAGTAGTATACAGTTGCTGAGACGGATATCATATGCATGTGTGCTCTATATACGTACAAAGCCTCGGGTTGCTTCAGAAAGAACAAACCCACTGCTCTCCCATATTCCCTCTCTGTAATAACCAAGCACCCGCAAACGAACAGAGGGAATGAAATGGAAGAAAAATGAGGAAGAAGCGCAGAATATAGATTAAAGGGAAATGAAAGACTTTAAAAAGCTGTTCAAATGTACAAATGTAGATGCAAATGATAGCTCTGATGCCGTTGCTGGTTGAATCTGATATTACATCACGCATTATGTACCTGAAGACCGAAAGGAAAAAGAAAGAAAGTAAGAGAGCAGATATAAAAATCCATACGGTGACCGGAAGACTGAATAGATGACCTGCACGCAAGAGGGCGGGAAGGTGGCAGGCATGACCTGATACCCACACCCTGACACGCAAGAGTTTGGACAAGACGAAAAGCAGAGTCTTTTGAAAGGGGTTGAAACAAAAAGTGCGAGAAAAAATATCAGCCAGCAAAAACATGAATCCATGCAGAACCTCCCTCCGGTAGACCAAACTCCTTTCTTCAATTCAAGGACAAACCACAGAGCAGAATGAAAGCAAAGAAACAAAACGAAAAATATTATAATAAGCCCAAGCCAGTCTTTATTATACACTCTCACTCCCTGCAAATGAAAAATAAAATAACATAAAAACTATCAGGAGCCCGGAATTCACAGGAGCGGTAGTTTGTAATGTAGCATTTCGAAAGTCTATGTGGGTATCATGCATCATAACCGGTGCGGAGGGACCAGTAATGACAAAGAGAATGGGAATGGAAGGGCAAAATTGCGCGTTCGAAGGACACAGGTCCAAGAGAAAACAATACTCCAGTAACGTGTACATTGGCCAGGGCCTAGGTTCTTCCTATATTCTTCTCTACTCGCGTCTAGTTTAACATTCTCTCAAGGTCAGGTGGGATGGTTCCGGTTGGTGAGATCGTGGCTTTGTCTTTCCAAGGTGGGGTGGAGGTCGTCTCGATAAACATGGGGCCATTATTACGAGCCGCACCAGGTGATATAGCATGCATTGGCTTAGCGAGATCACTTTCGATTGGGCTCGGTGCCTTTTTAGTGGTGACCGTGGTCTTGCTGGACTTGCTAATGCGGAACTGTTGATCGATTTTCTTTGGTTGACTATTGTTCGTTCTGGCTTTCTTTGGAGCTCCCGGCTTCTTCTGTGCGGGTTTCCTAGGCTTCGTGGCTTTCTGACCAGGTTTCCCGGATAACAATGATGACAAGGATTTTTTAGTCGGTTTATCCGCAAGGGGGAAAGGAATTGGCGGTTGGTCTTCAACGTTGAGTGATTCATCCTGGCTCGATGAGGGTGTAAGGATACCAGTACTCTGTTGAGAGTTCTTGAGCGGAGGGACAACGACAGAGAAAGGGCCTTGTTCCTGTTTGACTCGTTCGACGTCTGATGCAGTGCATTCCTGGATGGTATCGTCGCTATCATCGTCCCACGGCTTCATGTTAGCTTGCCGCGCAACTTCATCACAATCGCCTTTGATGACGAGATCCCAACAGTCCTCGAAGCCTCTTCCGACGGGAACTGGTTCGTGATTTATCCACATAGTAATTCCGTCTTTCCGTCCCCGGACGACGTGGCACATTTCTTTGACAATTCGTCGAACTCCTGGGATCTTTAAAGTGGTGCCAACAACAATTAAAGCATCAGGCCTAGCACGTAAGTCGGCTGTAACAACAGAACCGATAGCCTCTTCGTCAGGATTATGTTCATTGTAGAGAACTATTCTTGGTCTCAGCTTGCCAACACCATGACTTCGCTGGCCGGTAGTTGTGCGAAACTGGTCTGTTTCGCAGCATTTTCGACACAAGGGCGGGTCGGGCCCTTGGAAAAGTTCTGCTTCAAAATCAGATGTATGTCTGCACTTCTGGCAGACCATCTTTTCAAGTCCACCGTGTAGCTGAATGGTACGGGGCCATGGTGCCCTAACGCCGAGTGGAACCTGAGTTGCCAGAGGGGGCAGCGACGTCTCAATGCCATCAACATTCTGTGTATATAGTCGCATTAAACGACCGTCCTTTGCAAGCCGAGCAAGAAGATGGTGGAAAGCGGTAGGCTGAGCAGAGGCTGCCATTCCAGACAGCGAGCGAACCATGTCGTGGAAAGAGGAAGTCATGGTGTCATCTTGATACACTGACGCGTCAAACAACTGCTTCCCCGAGGCTTTAAGTTTGTGATCCTTTCTCAATGTTTTGAATAGGCCATGGGAAGAACGAAAGTCAGGTACTGTGGAATCGTCACGTCAGCAAAGAAGCGCCATGAAATTTCGAAGCAAGGATGTACCCACTCCCAGCAGAGACCGAAATTCCAGCGCCAGCAATCACAACAATTTTGCGCTTTTTATGAAGAGCCTTCAATAAAAGGCCCAGTTCATCTGTCTGGTTTGCAAAGCAATCAGTGGAAGCCAAAGACGCTAAAGATAAATCGAGGTGTTTCGTTGATCGTGGCTTCGGCTCGACTTTTCTCCTCTTCTTGGTTGGGAGCGCGGTGTCTTGCGATGCGGAAAGAGAATCACTTGAATTGAGCCCGAAATTGTCTTGAGATGGCGGAGGCGATGGAAGAAAACTTGGAGGAGGGGATGGTGATGCTGGAGGAGAGCTGAGATCTGAGGAATCCCCCCAGGGGTCGAATGGACAGCCCATTGAGGCGAGACGTGACGACGTGTACAAGGCAGGGGAAGAGGGTAAGAGGGTAAGGGGGGTGATAAGGGATCGCGAGACAATATAGCTGGCTAAATCATGGGGGTAAGATAGGCGATCTGATGGGCGTTGAGTGAATAGGACTGATGACCACGATAGGTGTTAGCGGACAGAAAGATGACAGACGTGAGGTTGGATGTTGTGCGTTAGCGAGGGGACTGACGGTTTAGTGAACAATAAATGGATGGAGACGGCGGGAAGAAGGATCAGAGCCGCAGCCAGCGCTCCGGCCACGCTAGGCCCGATTCTGTACATCTAACCACAACACGAAAACCAAAACAAACATTATTATATACAGATATCAGGATATCAGACGGCGAGGGGTGAATATGGAGCAGCTTGCAACCCTGGAAAGGCAAGAATCTGTATCAAGTGAGCTAGCTGCCTATCAATGGGAAACTGATGAAAGCTTTACACCCGTTGATTTTGATGGATAACACTTGGCCTCTACTACAAAACTTTTTATTTATTCTTTTTTTGAGAGACAGAGGGAAGTTATTCGTATATCTTGTTTCACTTATGAGAGTAAAAGATGTTAAAATACACTGTCTAATCTGATTTCTTATTCATTGTGAGAAATTGATCTTTATCTGCTATAAAGATAATAGAGTGTTTCTTAAGTCAATTATCAATTTTAGATACTGCATCCCTAGGTATATTTAGAAGTAGAAGTACGCTGTGTACGTTCTTTCATAGGTATTTAAATATATAATAGCAGATGCTTTTGAGTTTCTAACATACCTTTGCCCGTAGGAAACAATCAGCTTTGCCAGAGCCAGCCAGGGCTTGCCAGAATATGAATATCGCAAAGTTGGCGATGATGCGCATATTTCGAGATGTGGAGCTTCCTAGCCTCGAATGGTTTAGTGTATCCGCGGTTGTCCCAGCTACAGCAAACCTTAATACTCACGTGGCTTTTGTTAGTCATCCATTAATCATTCATATGGATCCACGAGCGACTTAACATCACGGATGATATAGTTATTTATATTGACCTACATGGTTGTTTTATGATGGACAAGACTATATATCTATATATATAGGTTCGTTCTCTTACCAAAACTTATCCTTTGTAAGGGATATCAAATTGCGATTCCAGCTCTATGCAGCCGGCTGCCAAAAGCTTAGAGCGCTAGACTGCGCACCGACGCTACCTGTGGAGAGGGGATTTTAAGGGGGAAATCTTAGGATGCCTATGATCATGGAGGACAGTATCGATGTAGATGATCTTTTCGGGGATCCAACCTCCCTAGAGCTGGGGCTGGAAGGCGCCGCACCTACCATCAAGGGCCTACCTCAAAGATTAGACGAGCTTCGGCTTTCGGGTTGTTCCCAGTATGTTACCTGCTACCCCTAGTAATGAGTCGTCTCCTGATTCAAGTCCCCATGAAATCGCATTGCTAACACTAAGCTAGAAAAATTGCGTGGTCTAAACTTGGGGCAATTGCGTACGTCTCACAAGATGGCCAGAAAGTCCTACTACGTTATCTTCACTGCAGACCTGATGACGGCAAATGGACGCTGAGTGAAGAATCCCCCATTAATCAAATCGTCGACATCCATGGCGGCCACACCGTGGTCCATCTTCTCTGGAACGAGAGTGGCTCCGAGCTGGCCATCGTGGATAGCTGTGGCCGAATCGCGATTGTCACCATTATGATGTCGCTGAATACCGTTAATCAGCCGCGTCAGGCCTCAATAGATCCCGATGATGACTTGGCGCAGCCGGTTGGATTGATGTGGTTAAATTTGAACCGACCGGTGAGTGTTTTCTTTGCAACTCTCCTATTTTGACTGTGGATTGTTCTTGACATAGCTCAATCGCCAATTTGTCTAGCTATTTGGTTTTCATAAAGCGACACGGACGAATAACAACAGGTGGAATTATCCGGCATATCGGCGTCGCCCCTTAGGGCCCCTGCATCCTGTAAATAAGTCAGCTCTCGTCATGGTGACGAAATCTGGTTATATCAAGCTCATCTATCAGAATCCAGACTTGAGGTGGGGAGAGATCTCCACGGAATTGAAAACTGTTGGATATCTAGATGGGCTGCTGACACACGCTGCTCTGGCACCGGCTGAAGGTAAGACAATCAACTCAACTATGCAGACGTAGACATATCTCTTATTTGAAAGCCTACGCATATCCTGAAACTGGACTCTTTAGGAAGTGGAATTTCTATCGCCACCCACTCAGCATGTGGGAAAGTGTGTTTCTACCGTGTCCAGGTTAAATGGGATCCCCCAGAATGGGATCAAACGATAAAGCCAGGAGGTGGCTCAATCGCCTTTCCAACACCCGCTTTCCAGGTTTTACATACCAAGACTGAAGTCCTAAGCGCTGTTTTTCACCCGCCGGCGCACGACATGGACAATATCACAGGCTTCTCACCCCCGAATGGAGAAATATATAATCTCACCCATCTTGAAATAATAACGGCACCTCAGCTCCTTCCTAGCACACAGGCTGCTACTGGCCCCTGCATACTAGCCGTTGCATCCATTTCACCCCAGAATCAGCTTGGTCAGCCACCTCCCTGTGGACTTTCAAGCGTCCTTGTCCGCTGGCAGCTAGACACTATGGCGCAGGCCCTACACCCAAGTTTTGATGATGTGGTGTCAAAGAAAACGGCCTCTAACCCCAAGGTGCGATCCAAATAACGCACCCTCTCCACTTAACTTATATCTACTAGCCCCTAGCTCTAATATCCCTCCTACTAATACCCCTGAATTACTAGTCTAAAATAATCTTCAGAAGACTGGACGACATATATTTCGAAAGATATGTCGTCTCGATTGACTACACGGAAGCTAGTAGCGTGCTTGCCATTACACACGACGATAGCTCCATTTCTTTTTTTGAGGCTAGATCCATGAGGCCCATCACTGAGAATGAAGATGGTAACACTGTGACAAGCATGCCAAATGCCGGATTCATCTTTCCAATCGACGCGTCAGGTAGGCTTCATTATAATCCCTTCAGTACATCATAACATGTTTTTGAGACTTCTTATTTATACTTCCTTCTAAGGCCTCCACATTGCATTTTCGCCAAGTGGCTGTATAGCGGCAGTCCTCGACGGGGAGGGACAATTTCATTTGCGATATATGGAGCATTCGTTTGGAATGGAAGATGGGATGTATGATAGCGGTATGCTGTTCCCTTTGGTGTGGATTTGAGTAAATGGAGACGCCATACTTACTTTTAGTTGCAAAAGGCAAATTCACATGCGCAATAGCGGCTTTGGCATTGGGATATGTTCGGGCCTGTGGGAGTGATGCCAGTGCAGATGACATTCTTGCTGTCATCGTAAGACAGCTAAATCCTGGTTAGTTTTTGGAACCAGATTCAACAAGCAAGCCAAAGTTCGTTCGCTGTGTTAACTATCACTGTATTTCAGATGCGCAAAGAACATTTGTCACCGAAGTGTATTCAATTTTATTCACGAGTGTCGACTTTACCGAGCACGATAAACTCGTGAACAATCAATCCATCCAAAAGGGCCTCAGTATGCAAGCAGTTCTTGGTTTCAGATCTCGGTTCCAGCCACGAGCTCCATCCTCCACCGTGTCGTGGATCATATTAAACATTCGGCAGATCATGGTGCTACTTTTGACAGTTTCGCATTACCTCAAGAACGGCAAGGATTCCACCCCTTCGGAGCCGGGTATGTTAACTATTTCAACCCTAACGCAAATATATATAGCCGGGAGAGAAGATAAATATTCTAACTATCACGCATGGTTACATGTGTATCCACAGAGGTTCTCCGCATGGTTTTGGGAAATGTCAAGTGGATCCTCGATCTTGCAAAGTACTTGGTCGACGACCTCCTCGAAATTGCGGATACAATACCGGCGGACCGAACCTCATTTACTTTATCAAGTGAGTGAAAAAGTTAAAAACCCATCCTCCCCGATTTAGTCGCGATTCTTTTCATAACCCCCCGGCCTACTAACATGATTCTACCACTCCATAAGGCAAGACCTACGAATCCCCTTCCCTCATCCTCGTCCTTTCCAGCATCCCCCGCTCATTCCTCCGCCACATATTCCGCTACCTCGGCCGTTTTCCCCTAACATTCAAAGCTGCCAACAACCTAAGCGGCGAATCCTACCAACTCTTCGCCAGCATCAACGATACAATTGACCAATCCTCCCTAAAACCCGACGTCTGCGAGAAAATGCTCGCACACATCGACAGCATCGTCACCCGGACTTACGAAGCTGCCGGGTTTGGGAGCGCGGAGCGAAACGCACCTGAGCGCGAGATGCTAATCACATGCAGCATCCCGCCGGTGCTCCAACCAGCCGTCATGTCCATATTGACAGAGACGGTGCCGCTGGTAGTACGGCCGGGGGTAGAGAGGATGGCATTGGCGCTATACGACTATAGCTGGCTTGGGATTGGGGATGACAAGCGCACGGAGCTCTTTAAGCGGACGCATGATGTGGACATTTTGAAGAAGAATGTGGGTAAGGTGTTGGATGCAACGGTGGCGAAGAGGAGGTGTGTACGCTGCTGTGAAGTTTCGGAGGATACATGCCTGCCCCGGTCGGCTTCTATGTATAGGCTGATTGGGAAGATTGGGGTTTTGAGGACGTGTGTTTGTGGGGGCTCATTTGCGATGGAGAATGTGGAGGCGTTGGATCGGGTGTCGCTCCCGGTGTATAGGTAACACGTACGTAGTCTCATTTTTATATTTTAGGGGTATTATTTGATCTTGGAGTGAAGGGGTGGTTCTTCTTCGGAATCAAGGGATAGGCGTAGAAGAAATGGTAAGATATTTGTATTTTAAAAGCAGGACATTCCATTATATTTCGTTTACACACCGCGTTGGGATCCGCAAGCAATCAGAGATGGATAAATACCCTGCCTGTACTGTGTAGAGAAGGGGTAACTTGCGGTGCTAGAAGTCTGGGGTGACCACTGGGAGTAAGTTTGCGGAGGCCTTGAGTGGGAAGCCTAGAGTTGTTCATCGACCGTAGGTTGAATCCATCGCGGTTTCGGAGGTTGACAATATGAAAATTAGAGACTGTTGAAACTCGTGAAACTAGCCGCTTCTGAGATGGTAATTGGATGTTGTAGTGCTGTAAGTAGCTTTTTCCTAGGACCGAAGTTAGTTTCGTGGACCTTTGTAAGAGTGATCTGGCCCGCGGGCGTGACTTTCGGGAGATTGCTGCGCGCTGTAGTGACAGGTTAAATATGTAAAAGCGGAAGAAAAGGGTTTGAAGATAAGAATCCCTTTTTTGTATGTTTTTTGAACCGTAGGAAAATGATTTTCATAAAATTGCTGCCCAACTCAATTGCATCGTCTAGGATACATTTATTTCCATTTTCTCAACCGATTGAAGAAGGAAGAAAAATATCAAGTTAAAACCAGCAAAAAACAGCGCTCTCCAACTCCCGCCACATCCCATTATCATACCTATGCCTATTTAACAAACCACAAACGTTAGCATTGCCAGAACCACAAGTAGCGCATTATATATATCACGAGTAACGTATCTCCCAGCACTAATTTGTCAACGCAAGGGAATTGTTCGTACCTTCACAGCATATTTCCGTTGGGGGAAGTGAACCAGCTTCTTCTTCTCCTTCTCCGTTCTCAAAGAGGCTTCGTGCTTCGACAACCGTCTCCGGATAGCGCGAGTCTGCTTTGGCCTAAGGTCAAGGGGAAGGTATTTCTTGTTCTTGTAGAAAAGACGCAGTTGCGAGCGCTGGTTGGCGTTTATGACGGTAAGGACTTTGGCGATCGATTTGCGCAGATCGTGACTATATATCAAAATTCACCGCCGATTATATTGTCAGCCAATTTCGCCCCTTTTATGTCCAGAATCGTATTTCCTTTCCCCCTGGAGTTTTTTTCCTCCTCTTTCCTTCTTTTTCCCTCTTCATCTCGTTTGTCCATTTCCAATCCAATCACTTTTCGTGCTCTTTCAAATTCGCCAAAATCGGAATCCCATGCATTTGTTAGGTAATTCGGAAAAAGACGTACATTCTGGTGAGCTTAGAGGAAGCACCTCCAGCGATTTTCTGCACACGGAGCTGGCCGAGCTCGGTCTTCAGCTCATCCAGTTGCTTGGTGAGCTCCTCCTTGTTCTTGCCCCAGAGCTGGCCGGTCTTCACCTTGGCGGTCGACTAGAAAACTGTCAGCAAAGGAAACCCCCCCAAAAAAGTCCAGCATTTCCCCATCGCGCAGAGATTCAAAACGTACCATGATGGCGGGATGTCGTGTGGTGTCGGTCGGGGGGAGGGGCGGATTAATTGGTGTCGTCGACTTGGGGAGTTGAAGATTCAAAATGTTGCGGTTTGATACTCGTTGTGGGACTAGGGTTGCGTGCGGAGCCGGAGAAATAGGCGAGGCCGAGATATATCACGTGACCACTATCATCCAATTACCTGCCCAGCTATACATCACCATTTATATAACTACACCTGGATCAGCTGTATTTCGAGAGAATAACGGAGGATCTGACAGTTATGGTTTTGGCGATTATTTGAGGGAGTGGACTTTGAACGATTGTTGATTATTTCTTGATACCCCCTGGCGCATCTATTTCATTTATTTACAGCTCTAAACCAAGACCAATATGGCAACTCCAACGGGGACAGGATGGGCGCAGTTGCGACAGCAGGCTCGTTCTCTTGAGACGCAGGTAATGATCATATTTCTAAATCTCCTTTATTGCCCAAGGCCTTACTGCTGGTCAGTATATACTTACACCGCCTTGTCGCAGACAGAGACCTTATTCCACACATATGCGCAATATGCATCCCTCTCGCAGCTACCTATGACCCCGTCAGAAGACGAAATAAAAGCCGAATCCCAAATTCACGATATTCTAGAACGGGTATGCACGAGAAAGAAACCATATTTTTGCAGTTCTTCTAACCCCTCCTTGCTTCAAAAACAAAACCTAATCGTCCGAAATATAATCCCCAGAGAGATGCTCTTATAGCTCAGCTAGCTCGCCTCCTCGACTCCGAATCCACCCTCACTTCCTCAGCTCTAAAACAAAACAACCTCTCCCGCCACCGCGAGATCCTCCGCGACCACCGTCATGAACTCAAGCGCCTCAACTCCGCCATCGCCGAAACCCGCGACCGCGCCAATCTGCTTTCCAACGTCCGCTCAGATATCAACGCCTATCGCTCCTCGAACCAGAATAACAACAATGCAGAGGCAGAGTACATGCTGGAGGAACGGGGCCATCTCGAAAGCAGCCATAATATGATGGATAGCGTGCTTAGCCAGGCGTATGCGGTTAATGAGAATTTTGGGCTGCAGCGCGAGTCGCTGGCGAGGATTAACCGGCGGATTGTTGGCGCGGCGAGTCAGGTTCCTGGGATGAATTCGCTTATACATAAGATTGGAGCGAAGAGGAGGAGGGATGGGATTATCCTCGGTGTGTTTATTGGGATTTGTTTCTTGGCGGTGTTTTTCTTTCGGTGATGAACGTGGCTGTTTATTCTTTTCCTTGAGTTATATCCTGCACTGGGCTGGGAAGATATGGAGTTATTTTTCTTCTACTTTTTTATGTGGGACACTAATATCAGCAGGCATGTATTTATTTTATATGGCTTCTCAATTGTATGTTCATCTATTTATCTATATTTACATATTAATCGTGTATCAAGGTCATATATGTCAAGGTGTGGGGATTGTTATTCACGTTGTATACAATAGGCTCATTTCCGAACGAAAGGGGGTATACGCTGCTTTGATATTTGATATTCACTCAGGCACTTCCATCCGCTTTCCGCGAGAGTGCATTGAGACCTTTCCATACCTTCCTCTCGTCCACCAACTTCCGCAGCCCGTTATTCAAAGACTCTAACTCCCCATCTTCCGCAATACTGCTCCCAGCCCACCGAATCCTACACTCCTGGTCCAGCAAATATACATACCCAACCTTACTGTTCATCATCCCAATCTGTTCTCTCAAGCTATCCGTCAACGCCTTTTGCCGCACAAGGAAATACCGATCATGCTGCTCCTGAGGCATCTTCCTCCTCATCCGCCACATAAACATACGTATCAACCAAACTTTCAGCACATTGTCTTCAAAGTTGATCTCGACCCGCTGCGCCGCCTTGGGAGAATCTTTTAGGATCTGGTGCAGCGTCGGGTTTTTCAGCGGGCTTACGAAGGATGCGACCTGACGCTCGGCCCAGAGGCTGGAGAATATACTCACGACGGATACCTTGCCGCGGAGGATTGGGGTTGTGTCTTGCATGGGCGTGGTGGGGGAGAGAGTGCGGCCATATATGTTGGGGAAGTAGAGGGCCTTGTCGGCTTTGAAGAGGCGGGTGTTGGATATGAAGGTTTTACCCTTGTGATAACGCATATTTGTCCATTCGCGGAAGTATGGTTTGGCGGCTTGTCGAGCCCTACATGGTTGTGAAATGATTAGTGATATTCGTGATTACAACGTTGTTCCATTCTGCTATGTCTGTATTCGTCGCATTACAACGTTCGCAAGGGGTCTTTACAATTCTTGTCGTCGGATGATATGTTTCTCATAGTCCACAAAATCGTCTCGACGTTGTCGGAGAGTTCTGTTATCTATACCGGAATTCTGCCCAGCTTGCGGGGGATAAGGGAGTCCTAGAGGGCGACTGAGCGGTTTGGGAGTAAATTCCCCCTTTGGACCCTTTGCTTCTGCTAGTGGGTCAGTCGCATTGTTGCTGTTATTGTTGTTGCGAGGAGGAGGAGTCTTGATCTGCGCGGTCCCCGCAGGCTTTGCGGGAGTGGGTGAACTGAACGTTGATGCATCTCGCCTGCGGAGCTGTGGTTGTAACTCTCGGAATTGGCACGATAGGCAGCTTGTGGGAGGAAATAATGATGAATGAAGTGAGAGTAAAATTGCGCGTGGCTTTGACATGGCTGAGATACAATGGCAAATGCCGGCTCTGCTATTTACCTGGCTGCTGAGCACTGAGCTGCGTTTGGAATTTTGAACCCATCGTTAATGACCACTAAGTAGCTCCACGTGATCTGGTGCCTATTTCGTGTTCCGTCACACAGGCGACGTGTTTCCTTTCAACCCCATCGCATATTGTGAAACCATATCAATTGGATAACAAAGTGCGATATATTTTGCAGAAACAAATAATTCCATCATCCATGACTCTACTATGCTACTGCATTGATGTTTTCTATGATGGATCAATATGGAGAGGGATAAAAACGGATGTGGCGACTCGGAGCGTTTAGCAGACAAGGAAACGTTTTGCGAGGATCTCTATAAATTTAGCGGGCACAGCGACAACTCTCAAGAGATCGATGAGTTAGCAGTGTTACTGAAGCAAGCAAGGAAGAGAAATTCCCCCGACCGAACGCTCTCGCGAACTCCCGGATCAGAGAAGAGCACCACCCTCCCAGATTGCCACAATCTTAAACGTCAAAAGGTCCCTGATGCGCAGGAAATTGCTAGTACTATGAGATCTGACAAGCCCGCATCTGCGAGATCTGCACTTCCGAAAAGGCGATCAACACTGGATGGTGTTGGTGGGAACATCCCGACGTCCAAGAGAAGACGCGAGTCCACCGTTCGAGTGCGTCCGGAGCACCAGCAAATCTTTAAGGAGATGGTGTTTTGTTAGTATTGTCCTCGCCCTGTTCGTTGGCTGTGCAGAAGTAAATATAGCCCAAAAATGGCTATTAGGTGCTGACACCTTTATCACTCAGTTTTCATCCCTAATGATGACATCGCTCCCGCACGTCGCATGCGAATCAATAAGGCACTCGAATTTGGAGCCTCCCGCTCATCTACCTGGGACGACACTGTCACTCATGTGATCGTGGATAAGGCGATTTCTTTCACTGATGTATTGAAATACTTGAGAGTCGATGCCTTGCCAGTGAGTTCACCTGGATGCATCTCCAACCCTTTCTTCTAACTGTACTTCGTAGCTATCGGTGTCTCTGGTAAACGAATCATATCCGACTGAATGCATCACCTTTGGGTCCCTTATGAACGCGTCTCATGCTCGCTTTCATGTTAGTGGAGCTCCGGCCAAGAATAACGAAGCCTCCAAATCAGATGGAGAGCCTGCCGTGCGAGATTCACCAAAGCTAAAATCTTCGCGCAATGGGATTTACCAAGAGACCCCCGTTCCGTCCCCATCACCACCGACCAACGAAGGGCTTCAAGACCCCCTAGTTCCGCCACCTTCTGACACTCATCGTAAAGATGACTGCGCCGATGTAGTAGAGCAGTGTTCCCAGAAGGGACATGATATTTTAGATGAGCTGATTAAACAAGCACGTGCAGAGAAGGATCTGGTAAGCGAGACTAGTGTTATTTTTCTATTATCTATCTTGGGGATATGCGCTGGATGACAACAGCCTTTAGATCAGTCAGAAGAGGAGGACGTAGACACAGCTTCAACCATAGACGAAGTAGATTCAAACTCCGATTCGGAAGCTGAGAAACTAAATGAGGCAAAGAAGAAGAAGAAGAAGAAGAGGTCCACCGGAAATCCACAATGGCAACAGACCTTTAGCTGCATGCACAAGCATGATGGACACACGGATCGGGATAATCCCAACGCTCGTACGATAGAGATTTTGCAGAAAATGTCAGAGTACTACGACCGCATTTCAGATCAATGGCGCACACTCGCGTATCGAAAGGCTATCAGCGCTCTGAGGAAGCAGAAAGAGAGGATAGTCACGAGAGAACAAGCGGTTACAATCCCTGGCATCGGCGAGCGACTTGCCGCTAAAATTGAAGAGATCGTTTGGACAAACAGACTCAGACGACTCGAAGAAGCCAATGCAGAGCCGCATGATGTACTTCTTTCACAATTTCTCAATATTTACGGAGTCGGGTTTGCCCAGGCTTCCAAGTGGATTCAGCAGGGCTACCAGTCATTGGACGACCTGAAGGCCAAGGCCTCTCTGACAAAGAACCAGAAAATTGGCATTGAACATTACGATGACTTTTGCCAACGAATTCCACGCGCGGAGGTGGAAGCACATGGAGCAATTGTGAAGAAGCTACTCTTTACAGTAGACCCAGCCGTTCAAGTCATAATAGGAGGGTCTTATCGTCGTGGCGCAGCGAGCAGCGGAGATATAGACCTCATCATTACCAAAGACGGTGCCACACAAGCGGAGATCTGCGCGTTGATGACAGACATAGTTATCCCGGCCTTGTTCCAGCAAAATTTTCTGCAAGCAAGTCTTGCAGTAGGCAGACGAGGAGAGAGTTCAAAGTGGCATGGGGCATGTGCATTGCCTGGAAGCAAAAACCCCGTCTGGCGCCGGATAGATTTTCTGTATGTTCCTGGCGATGAGATTGGGGCCGCGCTAATTTATTTCACGGGCAATGGTATTTTCAACCGGAGTCTGCGGCTGTTAGCGAGTAAGAAGGGTATGTGTTTGAACCAGCGGGGGCTGTTCACTGGCATTATACGAAGGGAGAACCGGGTCAAGCTGAACAGTGGACGTCTTATTGAGAGCCGGGACGAGAAGAGAATTTTCGAGATACTTGGTGTGCCGTGGCGTCCGCCCAACCACCGCATCTGCTAGTTATTAGGATAGGATATTTAATGATAATAATGATAAGGATAATGACAACGATATCCATAGTTTCTTGATACAGAGTTCAGTCACATGACGATTTCGGACATACATTTTTCCGCTCTCCAAAGGCGGTCTGCGTAAAGACATCTGATTCCGCTCTCACAAAAAGTTTTGCCATCACTTTTGTAAGTATATCAGTTTACATAGCAGCGAGTTCGCGCGGGGATCTATTGCAGTAAGAGCTGTGAAGATACCTGCTCATAAACTTTTCTGTTGATTAATTTTCCCTAATTAAAAGCACCCTGCAGCTCTTTTTTTTTTGGCTTTCCCAGTCGCTTCCTATCACTTTTGCTCCTGCAGCTCTGCTCTGCAAATTACATCTGCTGCATCTGCCAGGACACACTGGGTGAAGCAACAACCCTGTCTGAACGCCCCTCTTCTTCTCTTTTCGATGCTCAATTGACCTTGATAAAATAAACCTATTTATCGCGCGTTGAAACAGGCGTGGCGAGCCCAAAAAAAAAAATTAAAAAAATTAAAAAAAGAAACAGATTATATAAAGAAAAATGGGACGCAAGCCAAACGGAATCGTCACCGAATTCTTCAACCGGGGTGCCAAACTCCCAGACTCGAGCAACCGCTACGAACACACATGCAAGTCCTGCGGACAGAATTTCCCCAAAGGCCGCGCTGACAGCCTGCTCAGCCATCTGGTTAAAACATGTCAGGCAATTTCGGCGGCGGATAAACAGCGCGTGCTACATCTGTGGCGAGCAGCGCCCGAACGCGGTGGACGAGGGAGCGCCGGAAAGAAATTGCACGTCGATGGGAGTGTGCGTATTGGACGTGGCAAGCCGGGGAGTTTGCCATATGCAGCGAGGCAGACGGTTTTCAATGGGATTGGCGGCCTCAATGGGCTGAATGTACTCGCCGAGGCATCGAGGCAGGTAGGCGCCTCTGATGGGAAGCACCCGAATAACAATAACGAAGTAGGAGGAGAAAATCCCCTAGGAGATAAGACTATTGTGGTAGATCCGGCATTGGAAACGTCCAGTGCGGGAAAGCAGCGAAATATTGGTATATAGTCCCGAGTTCTGTTGTGGAATGTGTTTTCAAACTTCTGAACTCTTAGTCGCTAACACGGATTGTTGGTGATTATCTTAGAGGCTGACCTTCGCGCCGCACTTGCCGCATCTTCTCCGCCGCCTAACCACTATGACCACCATTCGGCAGAATCTTCGACCGCCATGGCATTCCTTAATAACAACTTCTCCCTTGCCGCTGAACATAATCCAGATCCCGGGCAGTCCTCGCAGCTCTCCTTGATCGCCGCTTCTGCGAATGAGATGGTCCCGCAGGATGGAGGCCTATCCCTAGATAATGATGTATGGCCCTTTATTCCAATGTGTCTTTTATTGGATCTAAATCCCAAAACTCTTCTTCCCCTTTGTCAAAGGAAGCAGCTAACATCCCTACCTAGGTTGACTTCGACTCTGCTACTCATCACGCCGCCTTCTATCCTCGACCTATTGCCATACACCCCAGCCCACAGGACTCCTCCGGGTTTATCAACAATTTTGGTGAAGCTAGTAAGCCGACAAAGCATAAACTTAGAGCGCAATTCTCGGAAGAGCGTCGAAAAGAGGTTCAATTGGTCAGGAAAATGGGTGCTTGTCTACGGTGTCGGATGCTGAAGAAAACTGTGAGTATCCACGCCTCCTCTCTCATTTATTGGGCTATATGTTGTGGGAAGACGTAGCTTGGTAACACCCAGATATAGTGTTCTTCGGAAGACCCGTGTAGGCAATGCCGTACAATTCAAAATCCCCGTGTATGGATGGAATGCTGCATCAGGGATCGGTTGCCGACTCAGTTAACCGCTTACTCCGCAGGTAAAGATTCTCCAATCAGATAAACCCAAGAGGGAATATTAACTCCAAATATTATGGTCAGGCCTTCATACGACATTGGCTTATCACGACATAACCAATGCCAAAAACCAGCTACCGTTTGACCTTGGGATCGGAAGAATTGAGATATTTCACTTCGACTGCCAACCCCCGAAGTTCATCACCTTCAGTGCTTTACACCATCAGACGGAGACGTTACCAAATGTGGATCCTGAGCTTCCCACACCGGCTTCCGATGAAGAACCGAAGGTTCAAGCGCAGCAAGACATACGAATATTAGAAGGCGATATTGATGAGCTATTCACCAAGGTAGAAACTTACGTCAAGACAATGGCTACCCAGTATTTCGAATCCGAGCCGTCGACTTTCGTCAGAGAATCAGTGACTCTGGCTTGGGAGCTTTACCAGAACACAGCTGTAAGCAAAGCTGTCACTTCTCAAGTTTTGTGTGTAAAGTCGTTTATGCATATTTTAACTAACTCAATTCGATAACAGGACCAATTACTAGCTGGCGTGTTAGACCTCTGGATCGCAACTCGAATCCTGGTGGACGCGGACCAACTAAAATGGAAGATATTCCTTAACCCAACTCTCCCGCCATCCTCCACCCAGCCTTTATCTTCAACTTCCACAGAACTCTGCACTCCCATCGATGAAACAAATTCTCCACATTCATACGCTCTCATCTGTGCCCAACTCCGTGCCGCTACGGAGAGATTTGCAGGACGAATTAGCAAGACCGTTCTCACCAAAATCGAGCAGCGGTTACTTCAAAAACAGCGTAGTGGCCACTTCCGCACGTTCTTAGGTGCTGTCGTATTGATGAACTGTGTTGAGCGTATGTCGTGGCTGTTCATGAAATGGGAGAACAGTGAGCAGGACAGGCCACAGGTATTTTTATTGTTCATTGTTTATTTTAATCGGAATTTTACTTTAACACAAAATCTGCGGTAATATTAACTCAATTTCAATCCAGTGGCCCCTCGAAAACGGCCCCGCCATGTACGCAGACCAAAACAATCGATTCGCTGATATTGTCACCACCCATCTCCGCATGCGCTCCCTAGCCCCAGACTGCACCGTGGATCCTGAAACCGGTAACCTAATGGCCAGTTACAGCCGTGACCCGGACGTCACAAGGTGGTTTAACGCCATCGGTATTTCACGTAGGTAAACCCCAAGAAAACCCATCCATGGCCCTTACGCTTAAAAAATCCTCTGTTAAATATCGCGTTGAGCACACTTTTGCTCCTCCCTTGGTTACTAACAATTATGTTTCTTTATGCAGCTCAATACTTCCAAGAACGTCAAATGGCAGCATTCGATGCCTCAAACCCACGCTCTCTCGATTTGCTCTATTGTACACATCTATTCCGGCCGGCTGCCGAAAATACTACAGGATAATACTTTCCTTCCGTTTTATTCTCCTCCCCTTTTCCCCCTCTTTTTGCATCCAATTCCCTGTGTTTATTTTAATATTATTTAAACGGGGATTTTGTACACTGCCTATGAGCTTCATGTGTTTACGAGCGGTATGCTATATTTTATAATACCGCTTTCTTCCCTTTTCGTGCTCTTTGTTCACCCTCTATATATTTTCTCTCTTATTTCACCATCTTTTTTTCCCGATCCATTTCCTTCGCTCTGCTTCTATATCCACGCTATTGATTGTTTGATGCGATTTATATACATGGGAAAGGGTCCTGGAAAATGGCGGAAACGGTAAAATGGTGGGAAACGGAAAATTTGGGATATATATGGGATGGGAGGGGACATACGTCCTTTTTCCTTGGGGGGAAAGGGTCCACAGCTTTATGGTACATATCTGGCGTTTTGGTCTGTGTTTTACATATATACGTTCTAGCCCGTTGGTGCGTGTTCATATTTTACTTACCCATCGAATCTCTCTTTTATTTTTCTGGGCGTTGGATAATCAATATTTCTCTTGCCTTTCTCTTCTTTGTCTTTGCAGTCAAGCGCGCTGCTTTGCTGAAATGTTCAGCGCGTTATTATCTTTTATCTTTTTAATCTTTTCCCCTCCCTCTTTACACAAAATCAAGGGCAAAATTTTGATTAGGGCGGCCACCTCCTTTTTTTTGCTATGGGCAAATGTGCATGTGTTGGTTACGGTTTAATGGAACGGAGGGATCCTGTATCTTGTTTTCTTCCTTTATATAATTTGTCCCCCTTTCATTGGAATTGCTGGCTTGAATATGGAAATGATTGAGATGAGATATGTTCTTTCTCCGTTTTTCTTGCTTCCTATTGGACACTTCCGAGCTTATTGGTACAGGGCCCCTTGCTAGGCGTGTGATATATAAAGTTGAGTCGTCGTCCTTTTTTTTTTTTTTTTTCTTCCTTGCATACGCTCCTTCCCTCACCATTCTCCCCTAGGACAAAATAACAACGTAGCCTGTTAGTTATCCTATAACCAAGAAAATATCTCTGTAACTGTAATCTATATACAACCCACATGTCATGGGTGTACACATTAACTTTTTATATTTTTTCATCCGTATTAAATGGGTCAATCTCAATGAGAATTCTGGCGATTCAACAGTGCCAAGCCCGCGAAAGCCCCATCACCAACATAGGCCAGGTGGCCGAGTGGTTATGGCGTCAGGTTTAGGTTCGCTTAAATCCCTGATTTCGAGAGATTCCCGCGTTCGAATCGCGGCCTGGTCATATGCATATTTTTTCTTTCCCCTTTCTTATTTCCCTTTTTGCCTTTTTTTTTTTTAATTTCATATTTTCCCCCACTTTTTCAATAATTCTCTTATGAAGCCCAGGGTGCTTTGCAAAGGAGCGCTCTCCTCCATCTATTTTGGTTGGTCTCCTATCTACATGTATTTTCTCAAATACTTACACACACTGGAATCGGTAAGTGTTAAGTAAGATACGTATGCATAGTAAATCAACATGAGAAAAATGGATAAAAAGAAATGGAAATAACAAGAAGTCTATATGGCTTTATATGTTCTATAACAAATATGTCAACAAAACGTGTCTACCACCCGAATCTACGAGTATAACAACACATGGCGGGATGAGAGAATGGTGTAATAGAGGCACAATAAAAAATAAAAGGGAAAGAATGACCGGAGAGGAAGGGAATAGTGAGGCTTGGAGGATCTGAGAGGTTGATAAGGGACAGGCGGGCGTGGGTATCGTGGGATTCATGAGGGGTTGGTTTTTAGAGGGTGAATTGTCAGAAGGAGAACGAAACAAGCAAGTGAACGTAGGGGAGTAGGGGATTCGATGTTAGAAAACCCAGCGAGAGTAGGGAACAACAGAAATATTGGAAAGCATTGACACAGGGAAAAACGGGGGAAAAATTAACTATAAAATAGCAGGAATATTAAGAGGTATCTCAGGAGACGGAAAACACGACGAAAAATGAAAATGAAATGAAAATGAGATGAAAATGAAATGGTGGAACTGAAAGGGAGAAAAGTAGACATTTGATTACAAAGACAAAAGGGGATATCCAGAATAACGAGGAAAAGCAGTTAAACAAGTAGAAAAGAGAGGGGTAAATTGAAAAGGGAGAAAAAAAAAAGAGAAAAAAGAAAAAGAATCAAACTATTGACATATGATCAATTAAACATCCAACTGTCCCTCCAACACTCTCCTCGCTGCATCCAACCTCCGCCGGAACAGAATGGAAGACCTCTCATCCGCGCTGGACCGTTTATCACCGTTATTAGTCGACAACTGCAGCTGTAACGCCACTTTCCCCAAGCTCTGAAGAAGGCCTTCCATCAGCTTGGTGTCGTCCGCGCTCAGCTGCGCGTCGACTATTAGTGGCTTGTCTTGCGACTCAGACTTATACAACTGAGTCGCGGTGGAAGATATTAGGGAGGATATCATGACGGTTGGTGAGCGCAAGTGTGCAACTGCTTCGTGGAGTGAAGTAGAAGCGTCGTTGGAATGCTTGCGGCTGTGGCTGCGGCGATAGTTGTTGCCTTTTGTGTTATTGTAGCTGGCTTTTTTGCCTGATGCGCGGGGCGTGGATGCTGTCGAGAGAGGGGTTGGGGAGACGGAGATGTTGGTGGAGATAATGGTTTGGCGAGTCTGGTGTCGGCTGGCGGGTTGGGGGTCTTGGTAATGTTGGCGGAATCGAAGGTCTTTCAAACCTTTGTCAGTAATTGTATTATGAAAATTGGTGAAAATTGGTCTGAGTTATAGAATATAGAAGGGGTGGATGGAGAGGTACATACCGCTATGAGAATACTTTGTTCCATTGCCATTCATGGTCCCATACAGTGCCTTTTCGATTTCATCGCCGCTATCCACATCGTAATCATCATAATCCGCACCCTCAGTCGCCGTCTCAAAGGAAGCTATCGTGGATATTGTATCAGCGCTGTTGTTTCGCGCATGACCCTGCCTTCCTCGTGGCGATGTGTCCAAGTAAACTGTTGCCTGGCTCCCTGGTCTTGTGGTCTCCACGGATCCAGTAGAGCTATAGCTTTGACGCCGTTGGTAGGCCTTTTCTCTAGAGTAATTCCCCAGTGCACTGTGTAAGAAGAAATGCTCATAGTCAAACGCGTCCTCACGATCCTCATGCCGTGTAGTTTCGGTAACCGTATGCATAGGCGGAAAGTCTTCATATATGCCCTCATCAGACGATACGGGGCTGTCGAGAGGTTCATTTAGGATCTCGGCGAGAGCAGCTCGGTCAATATCATCTGAATCACCATGGTCAAACTCCTCGTCTGCGTCCTCGTAAAGGCTGGCTACTACCGATTTCTGGTCGTCTGGACGATCCCTGTCCGAGGTGGCCTGTTGTTTCTGTTCTTCTACCACCTCTGGAGCAGGAGGCGGATCAGCGGTGACAAGAGTCTGGTGTGGTTGGTCTACAGTTCCGCCTACGTTTCTCTCGTTATTTTGCTCGTTCCGGAATGCATCCGCACCTTTACCCCGCGCCCCGACATATTCGCCGGCAGATGTGTACCACTGCTCCGCTGCTGTGAACGGGCTTGGAGTGCGAAGGCTTTGAAGACTTCGTCGTCGTAGGTTATCTTCCTGTGCCTGCACCTTGAGGGTCGAGATCTTGCTTTTAAGATCCTGCATCTGGTCTTGAAGGCCACGAACTTGGAGTTGCGACTGGGAACGGGAGGGAATACTGGCTGGATACGTCGCATTAAATTCCTCCACCGATGAAATTTTCGGGACGCCGTTCACACTGCCAGGGGGGTTATTTTCAGAACTATTATCCTCTTGTGCAGAAAGTAAGTCCGGTTTCGAATGTGGAGAATCAGATTGTGAAACCTTGTTACCAATACACTCGGATGGATTTTCAGGTATATAGTTGAATGTAGACACTGGCGATTTGTACGTAGCTCTAGGCTCGAAGCGATCATGGCTATGAGAGATGTCACTTGCTCCAAAACCTGATGCATTAGTTGACCCAAGTGCGCTGAAAGAGCGGAATGGAAGCCGCATATTATCTCTATAAGCCAAATTATTTTGTGCTGATTGGGCTGATACATCGCTCAAACCCCTCGAATGTGAGCTGCTTGCATTCAAATCTTGAGAAATCCTTTGGCGCATCAGTGCTCCAGCAAGGCTTGTCTGAGCCCGTCTCTCCGTGATCGAATGTGCTCTGCCCATGTTACCTGTAGACTGACGATGGTGGAGGGGTAATGTGCCCATCAGGAGAGAAGGCGATGGACTCATTCGGAAAGAACTACGGGCCCGACTAAGATTACCCTCCATGTGCTGGATAAAATCCGTAACCTGTCAGTATTTTTCTTCTCTTTCTTCTTTTCCAATATCAATCGAATCCAAAAAGGAACCCTTCTAAGGGAGGGCAAGGGAGAGACAAACCGTCAATCTCTTCTTCGCATTTTCAAGGATCCTTTCCGCTTCCTTGCTCAACATAGCAGACGGTATTTCATCATCAATTTCCTCATCCAATCCTCCATCTATTTCCCCCTCTTCCCTGATAGCCCTTACTGACTCGACCCCCGCAATATCCTGTGAAAAGCTGTCGCTCTCTTGGTTGCAACGCTGGTTGGGTTCATGGGTCACGTTTTCTGGGTGTGTCCCGCTGGGAGTATTCCCATTCCCATTATCTGTGCGAAACTCTTCCCATTTGTCTAGAATCTCACTTGGCGCACTAATTGTTGAACTGGACGCACTACAGTCATCATCATAGCCATCGGCATAACCATCAACGGCATTCCCGCGCACCTTGTTGTCGTCGTCGTTGCGCCATCGAGGCTCCAAAACCGGCGGACTACCCAAAGACATATTGTTTACGTCCATATTTTCGTCGTCTTCATCCCATCTGGAGCGCGTGGGAGAATCCTCCTCTCCAATATCCGACAACGGCGGGCGAACCTCATGTCCGGCAAACACCCAATTATTTCGCGGAGGAGGGTTCCGCTGTTGATAATTGTTGGGTGCGCCGTTCGCGGCAGAAAGCGCTACACCAATCCCTGCAGAAGAAACATGCATTCCATTTTCCTGCAAAGAAGCGTGACGGTACCCGGAGTGGTCAGGCGACGGGAGCTGCAGTGGCCGAAAAGGGGGCGACGGGGTAGAGCTTTCCCGCTCGATGTCGTAGGGGAGGATCATATCAGGGTTCGTCAGGGTGGGAGAGGGGAAGGAAGCGGAGGTATTAGAATTATTATTACTATAAACGGTGGGTGATATAAGGTGGCTAGGACGGTGTTTTTGCTGCTGCTCCTGCGCCTGCTGGTTACTCTGAGCACCAACGTTTGGAGGAGAACTCCGTTGGCTCTCAAAGGAGGTAAACGTAGCAAATGTGGAACGAGACATGTTAGACGTGATTATTAACTAATTTGACGGCGTGGGATAAGGGGCGCAAGGATTGGGGGACCTGCAGCAACCCGGTCGAGGGTGTATTATTTCCTTTGTTCGGTCCTGTCTTGCAGAATGTCAATCCTGGGTGCTGCAGGCCCAGCACTTTGTTTTCCCTGCCCCCACCTGCTGCCGCTGCTGCTGCTGCTGCTGCTGCTGTGTGTCACTATAGGGGCCTCTAGTTACTCCAGTACGTCGTGGAATGCATCAGAATCATGCGCACAAGAAACGGGGAGTTGTTCGTTTGGACTGGGATAGGGAAATTAAGCGCTGTAGGTTAGTGGGGAGACGGCCAGGAGCAGGATGTCAGAGTAACTCAATTGGCGTCAAAGAACACAGAACAATGTATTGGCATAGTAGCGGAGACGAGCCCAGGACTAGAGACCAAAGACTAGAGTATGAAAGAAAAGAGATGATGTTGATGGCCTGAGACTGAGGTCAAAACATCGGATGTGGATATTTGTATGGGTTTGGCCAAAAATGGATTGGGGTGATTTAGAGTTGAGCCTCGTCGAAGATCAGCAGCAGAATTATGACATGAAGAGATAGAGATACGTGCAGAATACTGATATATTTATGAATGCGAGTGTGGAAGTGTCCCAGGTATGAGATCCTGGGTCCTAGATGTTGTCCCTGTTCTGTTTCTATCTAGATTTACACTTTGGAATGTGTTTATTGCGACAATGGCCCCTGACGCCAAAAACATCCATCCAACCAATTATCCGCCCAATGAACTGGCCAATACCAATGCAACACTACCTAGCTCTACGGTTTTATTGTCAGAAATCATTCTCTTTCGTCAGCCCAGCACTCTATATGATAGAGAGCCCCGGTTCGGAGCTATCACACCGGAGCATTTCAAGCCTCCGATATATAAAGAAGCCTCCCAGGCGGGGATAATATGTGGGGTGACTACCACCGCGACGACGAGTAACATTGGCGGTTTGAGACTGATGTGACAAAGATGCGCGGTGCACAGGAGATATTAGAGTAATACCGAAGAGAAAGGAAAAATAAATTCCCGCGCTTGAGTGCTAATGGATCCGAACATGTCTTCTCAGATCAGGCTGGATGGAAATTTTGTGCGGCACTTGGGTGAATCTGATAGCTAGGCCTGGCCTGGGGATCAATAAGTGGCTCTGAAGGGATATGTATCGTCGTGTAGATGGAAACGGGGTGAGATGAAGGATGGATCAAACACCCTTCTGCAAATTATAAAATATATTTATATTCCCGTCTAATTGATTTGCAAACTGGCGTAAATAAACGAAAATAAAAACAAAATAGAAAATCGCGTCGCAAATGCTACCCAATCTTTTCCAACAACAATTTCGCGCCACTACTAACGGGCCCCCGCTTCTCTCCCTTCTTAACCGGCTCCTTCGCCGCAAGCTCACCAAGCACCTTCTTCTGCTTTTTCAACGTCTTCACTAGCTCCTCTCTCTTCTCAAAATCCTCCGCCTCCACGAGAGCTAGAACCACAAACGGATTCGCCCCAGTAACCCACGCCATCACATCGCCAGCAATCTGCTCATAGAACAGCCCGTGGAAGTTAAGTGGTGGCTGCACCTTCTCTACACTTTTGGTCTTGCTATTAAAGCGCCCGCCCTGTACGAGCGCCTTGAGCATCCGCCCCGCAGCGGGAGCCTCCAGCGCTTCGGGTTTAGACGTGGGAGTGGCTGCGATGGCGGCTAGAGCGGCGGTCCTGTCGCCGTCTGCGCTGAAGAGGACTTCTGTGATGAATTGGCAGCCGAAGCTGGATTCGACAAGGGAGTCTGCACTTGCGGCGATGAATTCAAGCAGGGTGGGTGAGGCGGCTTTGATTAGTTCTTGGCGACGTGTGTTTGGGTCCTTTTTGGACGTCTGGGATCGGATTGCGAAGACTTCATTGAGGATTTTTTTATGATCTGAGTCTGTGACGAGCCAGCGCGTGGTGTCTTCTGCGAAGGGATAGAGGATGGGAATCCGCGCGGTGAGGTCTGCAACTTGCAGGAGTAGTTCTTCATGGCGGGCTTCTGCGGTGGATGCCTGGTTGAGGAGCTCTGGGAATATCGACTTGGATGAGAGTTTTGTGTCATCGATGACCTCGTAGGCTGTAAGGAGGACAACTTGTCCGTGCACGTCGCCGGCCATCATTTTTATCGTGTCTCTGTACATTCTTAACAGCAGTTTTCTGTCCTTGGCGTTCGAATATGCGAAGCAGAGAGATACTAATCTGGAACCTGACTTCGTAAATGCCAAATTCTTAGCAAGGTCACCTGCTTCGTCACCCTTGATGAGCTCGATAAGCTCCGTTGCCTCCTCGCTGCCAGGTGTGGTATTCAAGAAATACTGAAGCATGGCATCATGCAACATCGTGAACCCAGTAAATTTCTTCTGAACGAGATGGTTGATAAAATCATGAAGATATCTCATAATAGGCCCTCTCTTTTCCGGATTCTTTGCAAGAATCTCACTCAAATCCGCTGTCTCGGCCGCCAAATTCGCACTCCTGAACACCGCAAACTCAGCCTCATACCACTCACGGAGTAACATATCCCTCTGCGCAGCAGTCGCAACAGTCCTGTAGATATCATCTACAATCCACGACGCCTCCGGATGTCGCATGAGCCGCTTAACATTTCCATAAAACTCGGGAACAATCATATCCCTAATCTCTGAATCTCCATGCACAAGCAACTTCCCAATTAAGAATTTTGCATACTTGCTCTCCGCCAGACTGCGATAGTCACCCTTCAACTCCTTCGCAATGTCCTTGCGCTGCTGTGGGGAGGCATATTTGAGCGCCGTCTGAATGACGCGGACGGAGTCGTGTTTGAAGACGAACTCCTTAACTCGGCCTGTGATGATGGAGAATAGTTCCTCGACAAGTTTCTTCCGCTCTTCGAGGGGCACGTGTGATTTGCGGCGCAGGCGCTCCCAAAGCTTCTTGGAGCGGGCGATGAGGTCGGCATTTGGCTTTGCGGCTTTGCGTTCCTGCGCAAGCGCTTTTTGCTTTGCGCGGGATTCTTTTGAGGATATCCCACCTGCCGATAGCAGATTGATTAGGTTAGACGTACAATAGGTAAAAATATTGACATATTTTGTGAGAACATACTTTGTACAGGTGGAGCAGCATCTCCAGTTCCATTTGCCTGCTTCGAATTTTTGCCTACTTGCTTACTTTTGGAATGAAGCTTCGATTTCTGCTCCTGAGTAGTATCCTCCTCTTTTTCAGACAATTGGTCCTCCATATCCACATCCTCTTCAGCAGAATTAAAACCTTCTTCCTCCTCCACTTCATCGACATCATCGTCATCGTCATCGCTACTTCCAAGCTTTTTCTGTGGCTTCTTGGGCTTTGGCTTGCTTTCCACCACCGCTTTCGCCTTTTTCACTTTCCCTCCGTCTTTAACCTTTGTCCGTTTCCCGCCTCGATCGTCCGCTGTATCGACTCTCCGTTTAATTCCCGCCATGGTTTCCAGTTTCCTTTTCTCGTGCAATCGGGGCGGGAATGGCAAGCACGGAGATAGCAGGTAGTATTTTGCTGAGCTTTGGTTCTTACATAGTTCGGAAATTCATCATTTTTTTTTTCTGGATTTGCTGCAGGAAGTTTTTCGCGAGGCAGAATGTTTGCTTTGTTTGCACTGATGGGTTTTACTCTAAGGCGGAACTGCATACAAGCTCGATATCAACACTCAACATCAACATATGAGCATATGAGCATATGAGGAACATTATTACGGACAAACCTGTGCTGGCTGGGATCGCGTGATATCTGCTTACCCAGGCGCCTTCAAGCTGATGATCCTTGGAACATTACCACACGTTTTTCGTTCAGACCCAATTATTATGTAGAGGGGAGTATGCAATTGCTTATCTCTCAAAAATGTGCGGAGTAGAAGTTGATATATTAATACATGGAACGGAGTATGTTCATTCCAGTTGAAGAAAAGGATGCTCCGCGAGCTCTCGTGCCGTCTTCCTCTCCTCAGGCAACCAAGCAAGCATCATCTTCACAAGAGAGAGGAAGTTTTCCCTATCCTCCTCCTCTACCAATTGAGTCGGGATGGAATCCACGAGCCTTCGATCCGGGATCAAGCCTTCATACAGAAATTTCCCTGCAAAAAGTTCGGTGATATACATTAGATCGTGATCGCAATTCTTCGTATTCCCAAATCTTAGCAGAAATTGTTTTCAAACATACCATCTTTACCAAAAAACGGGCCACCATAGAATTCCCCTGCGTCCTTGCAGAGTTCGCTGCCTGCCCCCTTTACACTAGGTCCCGCCAATTTGGAATCTCGCATGGAATGATATCTTGCGATCAAATTTTGCGGAGGCGGTCCAAGAAGAGCTATCATTTCGGCTAAATGCGCTCTGGCATCGTAGCGGTCTTCGCTGTCGCCAATCTGGCGGAAGAGTTCTTTGCCTTCGATGATATCCCACAACTACACATGTAGTAGGGTGTTAATTCAACTCATTTGAGTTACAAAAGGAAAAAAACATTTATCGAACGGAAAAACAATAGGGGCCCAACGCACAAGAAGCCCGAAATTCCATATATCAGCACTCATCCTCCAGCCGCAGCCGAGTATTACCTCTGGCGCGCAATAAGGGTCTGCCTGGATAGGGTAGAAGCCGTAATCATCGTCGCGGACGAGTCGGGCTGCTAGTCCGAAATCAGCGATCTGGGGTATGCTCTTCAGTCCCCTCAGTGGTCCGAAGTCATTGTGACAGCGATAGACATGGCGGCTGGGGTCGCTGGGGGATATTTTGTATTTCATTGGTGACTCCTCGATGTGAGAGCTTAGGATATCACCAAGAATTTCCGGGTCTTCGAATGTGAGCATGATATTGTCGAGTTTTAGATCTATGAGTTTGTTTTGGCTCGATTATATTAGTTTGTCGAAATGCTATCTCCATCATCCCCCCTATAGGATTTGGCTCTTGGGTTCGGGAGGACATGGGGAAGGGGGAGGGAATGATACACGCCCACGCACCCGTATGCACAACCTTGCATTCCGTGTGAAGGTAATCCAGTCCTACAAGCAGGATGCGAATATATGTCTTGAGGAGCGGTAGCGGAATAAGCCTATCTCTGAACCGCGTCCGAAACAACCAGAACGGCTCCCTCATGGGTTCGTACGCCATGCAGAGATGTTTCCCCCCTTCGGGTCCAGTGGTTTCAAAACATTCCAAGAACGTTCGTAGAATCTCACGACCGTCATGAGACCGACGTGCTGTTGCTATATGCTGCTCAATTTCACGGTGCCGATTTATATCCGCCTGACTGCTGGCGTTGGATATTTTCAATGCTACGGCTTCCTCTGGTTCCGACTGCAGTCTGTCATAAAAAGTATCAGGAACTTGAACTGGAGAGAGAAGTGATAAACTACTCGGCGTGTAAAATATAAAATGAAATGGAAAAAGAGTAACAAACTACCCCCGCATATCACGCGCAAACCATACGGTGGAGGAAGTTCCCCAGCCAACCTTGACGAGGATCTGATAGCGATTGGCAATGACCTCTCCTACCCTCGCGGGGTAGAAGCCTTTAGCATTGTAGCCTGGACATGACTCCTCGTCCACGATTTCATTTTGGGGTATCAAAGGGCCTTGGGAAGGGGTGACTTGAAAAGGGCTCCGCCCAGGCTGTGAGGAGAAGGGACGCGTCGTTGTATTTATATGTTTGGAGGCATATGTAAAGTATCTAGTACGTGAATACATAGCGCTGATCGCCTTTATTCTTAGTTACTGATACACTGAGAGTTGGATGTTGCATTTCGCGTTTAAATATTTAGAGCGTGAAAATTGTAGGTGCATGGTGGCTCTAAAATGCCCGAAACGGATGGATCGGAAATAAATAAATCTATTTATAGCCGTATCTGTATCCGCATCGAGAAGTATATAGTTATAGGTTGTGTCGCCAATAGGCTTTGGTAAAACGCCGCGATATACATAAAAGGATCCAAAACTCGATTCCCAGAGGCTCCCTCAAGGCCATAAAATGTCAAAATAGGAAGCGTCAGATATAAATCAGGAGGCTAAATTTGTCTGAAAGAAACACAACTCCTAATCCTGATCCCGCACCTTTGAGAAAGGCCGTTAAAGGTAAAAAGAAAAAGACACCCCATTCCCATCCCCGTTTCAACCCTACCTCATTCACCATAATCATCATATTCATCACCATCAGTATCCTTTACATCCATATCGTCCCAGCTCATTTCGCATCAGCCGTAACAGGCATCTTCATACTCCCCAACTCAGCCACCTGAAACCCGCTAGCAGCGGCGCCACCACCACCCTGCTCCCTCTTCCTCCCAGGCAAATGGAAGCCCAAACTCAAATGTGACGACCCCGGCCGACTATTCTCCGCAGACTCCACTCCACCAGTGCCAGCTGTAGTAGAGGTAGTAGATCCAGTAGTCGTCGTCGTAGTAGTAGTAGCAGGCATCACATTATCCCCCAAACGCGCAAAAAACCCTTTCTTTTTCGGCTTCGTATCCTCATTCAGGCCAATGTCTACAAATTGTTCCTGCTCAGCGTCATTCTCGTGCTCATGCTCCTGTTGCTGCTCCCGTATCTCGTATGGGGACTTTGGTGGGGGTTCGAAGGTGTGTCCGCTGACTGTTGAGCGGGGGGTTGTGAGGCGGGAGAAGCGGGAATCGAGAGAGGTGCGGGAGGCGCCGGTGTCGGATTGGCTGACGGGGGAGCGGGCGGAGATGTCCTGTTATTGAAAAAATCCGATGTTAGATGGGGGTTGGTGGTTGGGTGGCTCAGAGAAGATATCCATTCATGAGGGGGGCAGGGGGGGTGTTCATACGAAAGAGCGGCGATAAGAGTCGAAGGATTCTCGGGATATGGAGAAGGGTTCGTTTTCATCAACGAGGTTCCTTGTGTTGTTTTGCGACGGGGATTTGCTCCAGAAGCTCTTTTTCTCCGTAGGCGAGGGCTAGTTTGCAATTTGTTTGTCAATTGGGTGGCATTGTATGGTGTGTTCCGATACATATTATGTCCATATCGGATCCGTACGGGGGGGTTTTATTTGATCGGAGAACTGGACTGGAGCATAGCATCATACCGGAAGATACACCCCGTTGTCATTGACAACTACAAAATTTAAGATGTCAAGTTAGCTTTCCCCAAACTTAATTGAACGGAGATATTGAATTCAAGACATATAGCGTACCGCTCATTTTGTACTCATTGGGCTTTTCATCTACGCTGCGTCGGAGAGTCAAAGATGACCGTTGGGGGCCGTCTGGATCATTGCCCCCCGCGGCGTTCAGCGGAGTGGGAAGGTCATCGCTGGCCGGCACAATGTTCACGGCAGGCCGCTTGGGGAAGAAGTTTCGAAACGGGGCCATGACTGACTGGTGGTTTATTTTAAGATATGGGAATAATGGCCGAGTTATAGAGGGAATAATTCTACTTGTGTTTGTTTGTTTATTTATTCCGATCCCACCGCTTCCGGCGGCTGGTGGGGAAGAAATCAATGGAAAAGCCGCCCTGGATTCGGCTCACATGACTTTTTCTTTGCTGATGGATCTTTTGACTCTTTTCGTTTCCAAGGTTCCTCAGAGATTAACGTCAACGCTGACCCAGATATATATTTGATGATGGCAACATGCTCATCGCCGGCTTCAGCTTGACCCTGGAAATAAGTCGCAACACCGGATTCCTGCCTCTTAAATACTTATTTAGCCCCTAGAAGCAAGGACCTGGCATGCTTATTATTATTTAGGACAACTTGCGGGCTTGAAAGTCATTCGCGCCAAGAGTGCAATCCATGGTATAAATATTTAGCTGAGACTTGCGAGATAAAGAAGAGTAGATAAGAATCTTCCTAAATGGAATTAAATACACCATACTGAAGTAAATATTGCAGTGAACTGTTCATATGAGATGCTGGTTAGATAGAAATGACACCATTCAAATCTGTTTCCTGCCCAGCAAGAAAACGTGCAAATATTCAAAGACTGACATAAATACTGGACCGAATAAATACGTTATTTAAATAAGACTCGAGAAATGCCCTCTTAGGAGTCTGCACCTCGCTCCCCTTCCGTTTTGTCCTCCGGACATAATAAATATGTGGAGCTACGCTGCAAGACTCCGGAGTTTTTAGGTATAAAATATATATGTCCACGTATCCCCGACATGGTCAGATGTTAAGACGCGAGTAACCTCTTCCTGGCAGCAACTAATAAGGGCATGCTATTCTTCGGGTCACATATATAATAGTGGCTGGGAAGAGGAGGTCGAGATGGTATTTTTACGACGATGCATTTGGGATCTGTGCAACCCGCGTCCTCCTCTAGGATCTTTTTTGAGTCTGCAGGATCATATAAATATATTGTCAGTCACGGGCGAAGGAGGCTTCCTGGAAATATTAACAGCCCGGAGTGTCGGTTTCATTTTCCTCCCTTCTTTGAGGAAGTTAGAAGTTTCCACAGAGGACACTGAGCATAAATACTAAATATTTGAATTGAGGGGTTGGGAGACTGTAGCAGCCAGATTGTCGGAATGGGTATCTCGGATGAATATGTCAGAAACATATGAATCTTATGTGTATCAAGATCTGCTTCCCGTACACTATCTGTTATATCTAATTGCATACAAAAGATAGAGCTATTTATAGTAAAACAAATGTGCGAGCCAAGAGAGCTAGCATTAGCAAGTATTAGATGAGTATTGTAGTAAGCTGATGATAAGAAAAATAGTAGTAATATGATGTTGGTGATGTTCATAGCGTATGATCTCTTATTTCCTGACACACCCCCTTCAGTGAATGTAACATGTAAAAGGAAGTGTAAATAAAGCTGCAAGGAAATAGTCATAGAAGGAGTGTAGATGAATCTGCAGAGATTACATCAAGATAGATCATTTATACCATTTATTCTGCTTGTGCTTCGATGATATCTATCTGATATATCAACTAGGCCTAGCATCTTGACAAATTCTGTATGTTTCTGGCGTGGCAGAGCCTTAGTGAGGCCATCCGCTGGCATTTGGGCTGTAGGCACCCAATCAACTGTAATATCGCTGGATTGGACACGTTCTCGGAGTCTTCGCGATGTGGGTGTTTTTCGACATCTGCCCAGTGAGTTAGGATGACGATATCATCCACATAGAAGAAGACGATTAATTGATCATTAGAGAAGAGGTAGCAATCCTCTGGCATAGAGGTGAAGCCTAGCATTCTTAGTGTTGATAATAGTAAAAATAGTATTAGGAAATAAATTTTGAGACTTGTAGAAGTCGGAGAGTGAATGAGAATGAGAGAATGCCTCATTGATCATTTGAAAAGGTTTGTTTTTGGCATTTGCAACTGCCTCAAGGCGGGCAGCTCTGCGATTTCAGGTTCATGTACAATTATATATCGCAGCTGGATGAGTATTAATATCAACATTAACATTCCGTGTACGATTAGCTATCGCAGCTGAATGAGTATTAATATCAACATTAATGTTCCGTGTACGATTATCTATCGCAGCTGGATGAGGATTAACGTCAACATTAGGACCTGCTGGCCCTGGCGTAGGTTCAGGTGTTGGATCCGGTGTAAGAAAGGATTGAAACGTGGGGATGTCTAGATATTTGATTTTCCGCATTAGAAAGCTGGCAGGGGTCACAAAGCTCAGTGATAAGCTCATCCCGTGCGTCTTCTAGATGGGTGATTTGAATGCCAGTTGCATCATTTGCAAGCTTTTGAATGGCGATTTTTGAAGGATGTTCTAATCTCTTATGCCAGGTAGACTGAGTAGTGATAGAGATCTTAGGTTTTTGAGAAGGTTTTGTGCGAATTGGCAGGTTAGAAGAAGGATTTGTAGAAGTTGAAGAATTTGAAGATATCAATTTTTTAGTAGTGTGAGATGTGGTAGCTGCGGCGGCTTCAGTGATGGATTTATCAGTGGTTTATCCGAGATAGTTTAAAAAACAGCTATTTCACTATATTCTGTAACTAGCAACCCCCCAAATACTTCAACGCGTGCAAAAATGATATTATCTGCGCGTTTTCACAATCTGAAGTCTTTTCCATCATAATAGATGCCTCCTATATGGAAACACGGTTTCCATGCACTGATATTTGTATGGAAATTCGGGATATAAGCTGCATTGATAAGGTTGACATTGAACTGCTTTCCTGCTTCATTTATCATGATAGTTCTAACAGTTTCATAACCTTCTACTTTAGTGCTGGAATCACCTGTAAGGCTGTATAGACTTCCGCGTTCTTGTTCACAGGGGTAAAGAATAGGAAATGTGTTCAATTATTGCATATATGCTGCTCCGCGCCAGTATCAAAGATCCAGGAGTTTCGGAGGTAGGAGCAAGAATTTGAAGAGTTCATTGATATTTTTCAGATCTGTAGATCAATAGATTGAGGATCTGATTGCTTCAGAATCATTCCTCCCAGAACTGCTCCATCTATCATATCTGTATTTGCAGATGAATCTCTAGATATCGCACAATCAACATGTCTCTTCAATTCTTGATTCTTAAGAGCTTGATTGATCTGAGTTCTCTTCTCCCTGTTTTCCTCCCATCCAGGTGACTTCCTTGAGGGATTGAGATAGTAGCACTGAGTGTATCGGTGACAGGCTCCGCAGATGCAGTTTTTGAATGTCACTGGTGATGAGGTATTTTGCTGAGATCTTCCATTAAAGGCAGCGAAGTTCATAGATTTATCTTCTTTGAGAATACCCATTTCCCTATACTGTTCCTTGAAGTCCTTAACTAACTCTATCAAAGATAATGGCATCTTTATCACATCAGACATCCTTAGCCCAAGCTTGTGCATAACCTGCATCAATAGCTAGATTCACATTTAAGAAGTCTTTCTTCAAGTTGAACTGTCCAGTTATATCCGTCTCTTTGATATCATCCTTGATGAGAGACCAGTTGTTTAACCACTTCTCTATACCTCTATTTTTCAGGGCCTTGCAGAGATCGTGATATCAGGTTCTCACATCATCCTAATAGTCCGCGGTCATGGGGGAGAGTCGATCTCTTAACAAGCGGATAATCTCTTTCACATCATCATTCTCACTGCATACATGCCGTAGCTCCGTGGCATCCACTGTCCTCCATATGATGTCTCGTATCTTCATCATACCTTCATTCATCTTCTCATATTTCATATATTTGATTTTCCACGCAGTGACCTTGATGTCATATGCTATCTTGGCCTCCGCGGTGGCTTCTTCTGGACACTCTGGTTCCAGGGGTTCTTCTAGTTCAGAGAAGATATCAGGTTTATCGAGATTGATGAAGTCTGATACCTTCTTGTCCTTTGCATATCCTAGCATATGAGTGTACCAAAGTTTCCAATCTCCAGGAACACTAAGGTGAACGGTCGCACTAGTCATTGTTATATTGAACAGATTGAGGAATCAGTTCAAGTATTTGAATGATAGATATGATCGGAATTCGGGGTGTATAATGGTCGAGTATTTCGGAACGTATACGAGTGAGGGTTCAATCGTCTCAGTTCGAATGATAGTTATCTATTCGAATGAGGATTGGGATCGGTATCGCGCTTCTATTCAGATGCTGCTTGCCAGGATTCTGTGTATAACGGTCGAGTAGTTCGGAACGTATACGAATGAGGATCAATCGTCTCAGTTCAAATGATAGTTATCTATTCGAATGAGGATTGGGATCGGTATCGCGCTTCTATTTAGATGCTGCTTTAGTTACCGGGATTATAACTGTCGGAATGGTATCTCGGATGAATATGTCGGAAACATATGAATCTTATGTGTATCAAGATCTGCTTCTTATACTATATATATTATCCGTACACTATCTGTTATATCTAATTGCATACAAAAGATAGAGCTATTTATAGTAAAACAAATGTGCGAGCCAAGAGAGCTAGCATTAGCGAGTATTAGACGAGTATTGTACGGAGTAGTAAGCTGATGATAAGAAAAATAGTAGTAATACGATGTTGGTGGCGTTCATAGCGTATGACCTCTTTTATTTCCCGACACAGATCCTTGCCCAGAGGAAGACGGCTGATATTTTGTTCGTCCATCGTTGTGCCCCAAGGACACAAGAAGAGAAGGGAGGGGAGGATTTAACTAAATATTTCTATGAGCTGTATTTAAGTGCTGATAAATATGTTCAGAATTGAAAACAGTCTTCACGATGTATAAATGCCAGGCCTCAGTTACCCAGGCATCCAGCGCATGACAGTGAAGCATAACTTCCACAGCTTTGATGATTGTTGCCTTTACCTATAATACTCAAGTTTGTGTAAGTTACATGTAACTTCCATAAAATATTTTAAATACATGACCTGGCTCCTTGTCTGTTATTTTTTATATATTTAGCCAGGCTACCTTCAATCTCATATTTAAATACTTCAATACTTATTCGCCCACGCGTTCGACTCAACAACACTAGAATTTCACATACTAAAAGGTAGAGAATTATTTTACAGAGTGCGGAAGAGTGTTGACCCCCTAGCACACTTAAATATCATTATCAACATGGTATCCTTCCAAATCCTCTCCGACCTCCATCTCGAATCCCCCACTGCCTACGACATCTTCGAGACTCGGCAAATTCATCTTCCTAGACCAAACGCGCTACGACGACGTTTCGGAAGACCTGACTGCGCTCGGCTGCACGCTCCACTCGCGTGTCTCCGCCGAGCAGGAGGAGAGCGTCAGTTTCAGCCTAAATGACTTTTATGACATTGACAGCTGGACCATCGCGGACCATTACAGTGCCCACGCTGCGGATCTGGCGTTGGCTGAATAATGACCAGGTTGCGAGCATCTCTGCTGCGGAGCCGGGGAGGAGGATTGTGATTTTCACACATCGTAAATAGCCCAATCGTGCGGGATGGATGGCAGAGCGGTGGACCCGGCGCATTTATCATCCTCGGACTGTATATTGGTGTTTCAGGGGATATTCAGCATCTTCATCTCTCTCGTTTTATTCGTATCAACACTATCAGTTGTATGTTGTATAGATCACAACCCGAGTGTGAATGACTCATCATCACAAGCTGGTTTCGAGTTTCAAGGGGGAAGAATATTCTCTGGTAACTACGCGGGAAGAATCTACCTACAGGAAAAGTTAAAACCGCAAATGTGCCAAAGCTTGTCTTTCTTTACTACATTTGCGTCATCCCATCCCGACACTAAAAATATTAAATATATTATTAATAATAACGACGATCCAGTTGGCACTAAATACAGCATTAGTAAATCCGTTTGCATTTCCACCCCCGGCTAAATAGTCAAATCTCCAATCTCAACCCCCCTTCTGCTTCCTGATCTACATCTCCCCGGGCACTTATGCACGCAGAGTTACATGAGACCCGTTTTCACAGAAGGGGGCAAATCGAATCTATGTAGCTGTCTCACCGCGCTGTCTCGGACTTCGAACAACTGGCTTTTCCATCCGAAAATGTTCTTTTTCCACCATTAACCATTAACCATTAACCATTCATTCATTCTCCTTCATCCACCAGGCAGGGCGCAGGCGCAGGCGCGGCATGCACAAAGGCAAACCTCATAACTACATGTCCGTCCCCGCTCTGCTTGCATCGAGGAAACACTGGCCCGTAGAGAGTCGCAAATCCGTATCCTGGGATGGGATGGGGGATTGGGGGATCGAGAGTGCGCTCTTTTGTTCTCTATTGGATGCTTGAGTCAGAGATCAGACAAGCATTTTGTTTTATTGTTTTGCCCCCCTTGTTCCTCCTGCACGATCTGGTTGGCGATGTTTCTTTATATTGCTAAGTTTTATATTTTTTTATGTCTTTTTTTCTTCTCTTTCTATATGTTTTATTTTTCCCTTTGTTTTCTTGCCAGTCAGGCGGCTTCAAGGATCTCGACAGATCTTCTCTATCGCGGTTTTTCATTTGACCGCTTCATCAACATTAAGCATGTTCGATATATTCTGTGTTGTTCTTTTTATTCTTCCTTTCCGCTTATTTACCTACTGAAGTACGCATTTGCATAAGCAGTTCTGCTGCACAGATTTTTATTTTTATTTTTATTTTTATTTATTTATTTTTCATTTCATTTCATTCTCCCCCCTCTAATATGAGAATAATGGAAGTTTCCTTTCTGATACATTCTTGTTCAATAGAGACATTCTTTTTCACTTTTCTATCTGAAACTCCCCTGAGGAGAACTCTCCTTTTCCCCTCTTTATCTCTCTACTTTAAACTAAATACTTGAACTAATTAATACGTTGTCCTCGCCCATCCCCAAGCTGTGAATATCAAAATGGCGCCCTGGACCCTCAACCCATGATGAATGAATGCCTACAATTATGGTTTCCCTGAGAGCTTTCTCTTGTTTCCTTCTGCTGGATGTGCCGTGTCTGCACTGTACATTATAATTTTCTCTGCTCATCGTCGTCTCCTTACAGTCGAAGCTCCTTTTCTCTTTCTCTTTCTCTTTTTCTGCTTCCATTCCGGGGGGAAGCGACAGCCCGCGCGGAGACCCGAGCAACTGCAAAAGAAAAAAAAAAAAAAAAGAAGAAGAAGAAGAAGAAGAAAAGAGAAGAAAAGAGAAACATCGCGATAAATCTCTCCTCGACTCTTTTTTTTTGTTCCCTTTCTGTACTTCATACATACTTACATACATACATATATACATACGTTTCTAGTCCCATATAGAGGTGTATACATATATATACACAATCCCTGCTTTCGGCCAGTTCCCATGCGCCTTCGCTGTATCACGATAGTCCTATCGGCCCGTGCTTCACTGTCGCCCGTCTCAGCTGTTTTTTCTTCCTCGAGCGGATATTTTCTGTGTCTTCTCCTTCTCCTGCTCTCTTCTCGTGGGTGAATGCCATATCCCCCTGGCTATCCGGGTATCTCGTATCAGAAGTAATTCCTACCAACTCTCAATGTCAACGGGCCTGCATATCGATCGAATTAGCATCCGACGTTGACGCACCATGGTGTTTTTTGTGGATTGGGCGCTGTGGTTGAAAATGTGCTTCGTGAGTTTTTTTCCTTTTCCTCTTTGTCCCAGTGTTTTGCTTATATGCACATATATATATTGTGCAAGGCCAGTGCTGCGCAACCCACCTTTAAATTTTCATTTGAGTAACCGTTTCTCGACTAAATAAAATACCATTCTAGGTCCTCGGATGTCTTATAGTACTGTTCCCCCCGATCTACCCTCCATTGAAAGCGTCACTATGAATACTCCTATTCTAACATATATATGGTTTCCCTCCGCTTCTTTTCACATGACAGTTTCTTGTACTCGTATACGGTACCGGGGTTCACATATATAACTCACTGCGGTTGAAAAAACTTCGCGCGGCAGCCGCAACAGAAGCAGCAACTGTACGTACGCCTGCAATGCTCGAGGCGGGAAGTGATGAGATACCCTTCGGCTCGAGGGCGATAGAACGGGGCATCGAGGTTGAAGGGATTTGGATATCAAACCCAAACACACCAGCCGGAAGTCCCATATGGGGTCCAACGCCGGATCCTAGTAGGCCAGCAAGTCTAGGATCCAAGTCGACTCTCGCTTGCCATCCTCCTCTTCCTTCCAGACGCGGATCTGATTACTTATCCCCAAAGAACGCTACCCTTGGCCGCTCCAAACCGGCCTCTGTCAGCTCGCCCCTGCCGTATCCTGGGGTTCACAACAATGCCAATGCGTCGAGTTCAGGAACGAAAGGTAGACGCGCGAAGAGTGAATTTGTTCCGAGAAACGAGCAGGAGAGCGAGGCTGAATCACATACTCCACAGAGCGATAATGGATACTCTGAATTTGAATTTGGTGAACTGGGTGGAGGAGTGGAATCATCCGACCAGCAGCAGGAGAGCGGGTATAGTAGTATAAACTCCCGCATAGCAGAAGATGGAAGTGCATTTGAGCCTCAGGAGTCGAGTTTTATTACACCTATTGCTACAGGTATGTGATCTTTCCTAGAATCTCGGTAATCTTGAGCGAGAGATTGGGGTAATATTTAGCCTGGAAAAATGTAGAAATACTAACGACTGATCAAATCTGTGCAAACTTTTCAATATACATTAGCTTCAGAAAACAACCTACATTTGCACGGCCGCTCTGTCGAGTCCGAGTCCGGGGCTCTCGAATATGTATCTGGAAACGCGCAACTTCGATCAGCAAGTGGACCACCTTACGAACAGGCGCACTTGAACTCGATAGAGAACTGCCGGACTGTTGATGACCAGCAACATAGCGATTTGCTACCGCTTCATAACCGCAGACGGTTCAGCATCGCAGAGACAGGCCAGTTTGGGAATGGGCGAAGTGGGTGTGTCGAGGTGGATGATAGGGATGATGAATATGATCATGCGCATGCTATTGCAACTCAGTTCAGGGGGCTTCCTGCGGCCCAGGCTGTGTGAGAGTGGTATGTGTATGAGGGAGAAAGAGGGTGAATATATGTATAAATCCAACTAGGGCGTTGGTTGGGATTGTTATTTTTCTCTTGACAATTCAATACGGTCCTTTTCAAGAAGAAGGGAGGGACGGCGTGTCGTGCCCGGAATTGATTGAATTGCTTTTTGTATATCAGAGGAGAGAAAGTTACATTATATCGTTTCTTTTTTTTTCTTTTTTCTTTTTTCTTTTCTTTCTTTTTTTTTTTTCGTTGTTGCTGCCCTTCGTCTTTGCTATTCACTTCTTCTCTTTCCTCTGTTTATAGAAAATAAATGCATATTGTTCATGGGATAGGATAGAGGATGTAATAAAACATAACCTCAGGCTGGATTGACGGAGTTGGTTAAATTAAAGTCACATGATCTCGCGATCCAACCAGGCTTCCTTCCGTCGCGTCCAAAAAGGGCAAAACAACATCAACATCTTGACGACGAATTCTCCTCGCCCAATTTTACCCACATTATCAGCTCTATCCCTCCTTTCCGGCATCTGGCTACTGGGACTTGCTGTGTATGTCTGTTGCGGTCTTCATAAGATCCCCCTTTGGCTTTCACGGCAGGCGTTGGGTGTGAATATCCTGTCCAGACGCGTCTGGCTGCTGCCTCAACAACCCAATCTGAGAAAAGCCGCTGTTGACTTTCCCGGCGGTAGAGACGAACCGGGGTCTCTGGTTGATCGCGCCCCCCGAGACATATACATATAGATATACAGATATACAGCAGACAGCCGACGGCAGAGCAGCAGAGCAGTGGAAACTATGACAGTCGAAGACGGGAGCCAGAATGAATATGAGGAGAACGGCCTCACGGGACCTGGGGCACCCACGCCCCTGACTGCGTTGGAGGTTAGTGGTAAATCTTATATCGACCAACCAAGGGACTGCTGTTTTACGAATTTTTGAATTTTTACTTGGGGACAGATTTGCTGTATACTGCGTTAATTGAGTCGGACTGACAATTTTTATGCCTTGCATTGGTTTGCATTAGGGAATGAATGGCCTGACTGCGCGAGATATTAAGCTGGTGATTGAGGGTGGGTATCATACTATTGAGTCGGTGGCGTATACGTATGTTCCATTCTGCTGTTTGCTTTTTTGTTTATGTTGTTTTGGTTGTGTGCTAATCTCCTTGTTTTTGTTTTGCTGCTCTAGGCCGAAGCGCGCGCTAGAGCAGATAAAAGGTATATCCGAACAGAAAGCGGCCAAGATTCTTGCGGAGGGTATGTTTTACTCTTTATCTATTTGGCCTATTCAGGTTTTATTATTCTCCCGGCCCCTCTACACGTGGGCGCTGACTTCGTCTATGTAGCTTCGAGAATCGTACCCATGGGTTTCACAACGGCGACTGAAATGCATGCTCGACGGAACGACTTGATATGCATAACAACAGGATCAAAGCAATTGGATACTTTACTGGCCGGTGGCATCGAGACGGGATCCATTACTGAGATTTTCGGGGAATTCAGAACGGGAAAGAGTCAGATTTGCCATACCCTGGCAGTAACTTGCCAACTACCTTTTGACATGGGTGGCGGAGAGGGGAAATGCCTATATATTGATACGGAGGGCACATTCCGTCCGGTGCGACTACTTGCTGTCGCTCAGCGTTATGGACTCGTTGGCGAAGAGGTGCTCGATAACATCGCATATGCCAGAGCTTACAATTCTGACCACCAGCTGCAGCTACTGAACCAAGCGTCTCAGATGATGTGCGAAACGCGATTTTCCCTCCTCATCGTTGACTCGGCTACAGCTCTCTATCGGACGGACTTCAGTGGTCGAGGCGAGCTAGCGAACCGGCAAAACCACCTTGCCAAGTTCATGCGGAAGCTGCGGACTCTTGCTGATGAGTTTGGCATTGCGGTTGTCATCACGAACCAGGTGGTTGCGCAAGTAGATGGCGGGCCAAGTGCTATGTTCAACCCAGACCCGAAGAAGCCGATTGGAGGCAATATTATTGCGCATGCTAGCACGACGAGATTGAGTTTGAGGAAGGGCCGCGGGGAGACTCGGATTTGCAAGATTTATGATAGCCCCTGTCTTCCGGAGAGTGATTGTCTGTTTGCGATCAATGAGGATGGGATTGGGGATCCGAATCCGAAGGATTTGGAGAAGGATTGACGGATCGGATTGGCCTGGGTGGTGGGCGGTGGATGGTGAAGTATGGCCGGGAGCTGCTTGATATTTTCGGCTATATCTTCCCTTTTACCCTTGTCGGATTCTAAGCATTTTACTTTTCTTTTCTATTTGTTTGCTTATGGCATTGCGCAACTCGGGACTGGCGTCTGGAGGGAAGACAAGGAAGGGAGAGAATGGGATTTATTTTATTTTTATTTTTATTTTTATTTTATTTTTATTTTTTATTTTTTATTTATTTTTGTTAATGTCTTATGTGTTCATGCCGATTAATTAACAGAGTCCCAAGTTGTTTGTCGGGTCTGTTTTTTGAGCTCGAAAACAATGCAATTGGTGCTATAGAAATATTTTTTAGATGAGCCTTTCTTATATTAAGAGCATATACCATATTATATACGATTATTACAACGGTAATTTGATTCTAGTATTGTTGGCTTTCATTTTCTGTAAGGTCTGCATTGCCTCTTGTTGGTTGCGGTGAGTCTTGTTAGTAGTTACGGAGTAAATACTCTGGTGCAAGCTTAGGTTCCCCAAACCTTGTTTTTTTTATCGCGAAAGCCGCAACCAGCACCATTCACACCACCGCTGACCATCTACCTACCTCCCCACGCCAAACAACTAGCAATGGGTAGTTAGAACTACCCATCCTCTATAACTGGGAATACCCTCTCACTCCTTCCATGCCCAGCATGCTCAAAATATACAAGGAGACCAAGGTCGATGCCCGACCAACCGCGCCCGCATCGATCGTAAACATCCCCATCCCATCATCCTCATACGGTCACAGCAACCCGCAGCAGCGGCGTACCAAATTCTCCCTCCTCCCTTCTACTTCAACAGCTACACACTCCGACGACACGACGAGGGATGAAGACGCGTTCGCGAAGCGCTATCTAGCCACACAGGGTGCAGTCTACTTCCGCAAGCGGAAAACATACCCACGCAGCTTCCTCTGGCGAGTCGTAGGCGGCAATGATGGCGGGGACGATGATAAGTTTCTCGAGATCCAGTCGGTAGACTTGACCAAGAGTGCCAGCGAGGCGATGACACCGACGACGGGCAGCACGACGACGGCGGCGGCGGCGGCGTCGATGATGACGACGTCCAACAACGCGAACAGCACCAGCCACTATCAGCACCAGCACGAGGCGAAACTGCTTCTCCGCCTCGAGTTCCCGGAGAAGATTATACCGCACGGCGTTGCGCTGGCGGATTTGGAGGACCATGAGGTCCTGAGTTTGTTTGTTGTCACGAGGGATAGGCAGTTGTACACCATTAGTCTGCGGCAGGAGTTCTTTCGACGTGCCGCGGCGATTGATGAGAATGTGACCGATTGGTGTAAAGTGAGCTGTCCGGCGCCGTTGGCTTTTGCGCACCCGCACCGTCTGCATGCGAGTAGTCCTCAGGAATTGTTTATTTCGTTGGATAATGGGGCGCTTCTTAGGTTGACTAGGAGGGTGGGTGATGATGGTACGTATTGTAAGGATAGCGAGCTGGCTAGCCAGCCTGCTATCCTATGAGTGTCGTGAGAGATGTTTTCTTTTACTGATTGCTTGTTTGTTTTTATTGTTTCATAGGATCAAATTGGTCTGCGATCACCTTTGATGAGAAGCCTTGGGGGTCCTCGTTACGTGGTCTCGTGAAATGGAGTGGTCAACAGCAGATACGTTTCGATGGACGAGTATTGGATCCGAATACTTCCAATGCCATTGCTACGACCTCTGACCAGGCCTTCGTGTTCGTCGTAGGCCTCAATCATACATTAAAAATTTGGAATTTGGCAAGCCATAAGCTAGTTGCAACGAAAGATCTGCTAAATCAGACTAGGCAACAACAAGATACTGTGCCTGCAACGCTGAATCCCTCTGAGTCCGCGTTCATTCGTGTTTTCAATGCTGAAAGGGCTATGGAGGGTGAAACGTACTATGCGGTCACTTACTCACCTCTGGACGATGGCCAGTTTAAATTCTGGGCTGTGAAGGGTGGATTGACCTCACGATTGGAGATGGAGGATCTTTTCCCAGATTCCAAATTAAAACCTGCGGACCCGGACCCTTCAGGCAGTGTGTTTTGGACGATTGCGGACTTTCAAATTAAGTCCATGGAGGAAGGAAGACACATGGTTCTTTGGGTGCTTTGGAGAAACAACAACCTCTATCAGATTTACAGCCTACATTTCAACCTGGATGATTTGGAGTCGGCATGGCGTCGCAATTGGACGGGAATGGCGTTAGAGACCCGCTGGGACGAACCGCCCCCGAGTTTCCTGGCATCTGATATTGCCGATCCAGCAGAGAAATGGTTGGAGTATCTTTTTTATCCCGGAAAGTACTCTCGTGAAGTCCTTGCGACATCCCTTGCTGTATACCAAGACGCGATGAAAATTAAACCGGCAACAGGATTCAGCAAAAAGTCTACGCCGCTCCAGCAACAGCTCTGCTCGACAATTTCGGAATCAGTGTCACTGCGAAAATTCAATGACGCTGGAGTCGACTATACCAAGTATCGACGAGAAACAGATACCAAATGGCGGCAGTTTTGGCAAATTGCTGATGACCTCAATAAAAAGAGAAGCCAGGCGATTTCACTTAGTTATGACGCGTTTACAGATCTTCCATGGCTGCTCTTCGCTGATGGGTGTTGTCTCATTAGAGAATGTAGCAGCACAGAGCTACTTGTCCATAATGACGACCATGCGTTGAGAGATCATAGAAGAGCGCTGGAAGACTCTTTTCATCATAGGAACTTGGATCAGGAGTTGAAAGATCGATCAGAACTAGCGGCGGCGCTTATCGAAGTTGCCTCATCCTTTAGACAGAAATTCACCCCAGAGCTGAGTCAAGCGTGTGCAGCCGCACTGAATGCGGAGCTTTTCACGGAGCCTTCTCTGTCTGCAGCCCAGCGAATTGCTGCGTTTCACGCACAGAGCAAATTCTCCGAGTTGATCACGGATGATATGTTTGATAGCATATTTACGAGCGTTGACATCGCTATCGGGTTTAAGAAGCTCACCACCGAACTCTTTCTTTCCATTATCGATACGATGCCGCTTGGATTCCCTGGAAAAGATTCCGAACTTCTGTCAACAGATTTCGGACGGATGGTGACTGTTCAGGGTGCCTTGGAAACGATACGGCTCAATAAACAAGTGCTATATGACCTTTTACTACTTACTGTTTTCGTCGAGACCGAGTTGACGCAGGAAGATGGCGTGCTCTTTGATGGGGTAGATCTGTTTGTGACCCTGATTGAGCTGTTAAAGGAATATGAGATGATGATATGGTTGGGATCGAATGTTCGACCGTGGCCTGGAAATCCACCCCATGGAAGAGAAAGTAGTTCGTTATCACCGGCATTATCCAAGGAAGTGGGCACGGGGAACCAAGAGCTTCGATTATCGACCATTCTCGAAGACCTTTTCGCCTGCCATATCAAACCGCGCCCGACATTCGCTGTTCCTCAAACATTTACGCTTACACAACAAATTCGAGACGTGGTGTCATGGATCACAAGACAGGGCGAAGTGCCGTTTCCGAATGTTTTGGTGTTTATTCAATGCGACCTCCTGGCTTCTGGTAACATTGACCTAGCCTCCGACTTCTTACGGTTCCAGCCAAATACCGCTTGGTCTACGTATGTCAAAGGAAGGCTATACGTGGCAAAATCTGAGTTCGACGCGGCGGCTATCTATTTCCAAAAAGCAGCATACATTCTTTGTAAGTGCAAAATTCAGTGCAAATTCAACTATGACTTGTATGGGGAAATAATACATGGCTAACATAAGTAATTCCGCTCGCATTTAGCACACGGAAAGGCTGTTGGAAATCTCCATGAAATGTCTTCTAACCTCCTTGATATAATATCGGTCAATAGCTTTTATGACGGGCTGCCGAAATACTTTCAGCACATTCTCTCGATATTCGAGCATGCACGGGCATTTGCTCATGTTGCTGATTTTGCCCGTCTTGCCCTCCAGGCCTTGGAATCTGACCCGAGGAAAAACGAACCCACCTCTGACTACATACATCTCCGGACTGACCTTCTTTCCCGTCTATTCCATGCTTCCCTGAAGACCTGTCGTTTTGACGAAGCCTACTCTGCACTTTCACGATACACAGATGCCGCATTGCAAAAATCTGCTCTCACCTCCTTAATCACCACTATCTTGGCCGCATCAGGGCCAGGCATTGCCGGCCTCCAAAAGATCCTCCGATTCCCCATATCATTGGCACCAGATCTAGCCTCTCACGTTGACGAAGTCCTCCTATCGCTCGCGAAGAAACAATTAACGCACGGCCGATCACAAGGGCAAGCTTTACCCACAGCGGCGTCGTGGCAGGACAAATCCGATATCCCAGATTACCAGCGCGTCCTCCAAGCCTACCGCGTAGCACGTAATGATATCCGTGGCGCAGCGGAGGTGTCATATCAAGCCGTCCAGCGCCTCCGCGAGATGAGGGATCGCGGCATGTACTCGGCACGTGCACTGATGATCCGACGAAATGTGAATGAATCAGCACCGCCGCGACACCATGAAGTGGATGAGGATGACATGGAGAGCAAGAACCTCCGAAATGAGCTTCTGTCTCTGATAAACCTCCTTGCCTGTATGGATAAGGACGAAGCTTATATCCTTGTCGAGGTTCCTAGTTCACCCAAAAACGCTCGTCCGCGAGGCAGTAGTGTCCTCAGCAGTGCTGCTGCGGATGACGGCTCCGTATTTCTGGACTCTACTGCGGTGACAAAGTCGCCCCGGGTCTCGCTTTCATCCCCGTCCGCTGCAAACGGTATGGCGTATTCACCACGCTCGAGTGTTGGTGTCGGTGAAAGGAAATTTAGCACCACATCGTCCCAGCAATCCATAGCTCACCAATCGAAACTTTCTAAGCGCATAATTGTTACACTGGAAGATTTGCGAAGAGAGTATCAAGCGGAGCTAGATCGAGTTAGCAGGATTGAGAATGGGGATTGGGAGTTTGGGTTTGTTGAGGGTGGGGAAGAGGATATGGATATGATCAATGATGATAGATTGAATAACGTGGATGCGATGGATACTTTGTGATTTCTCATTTACCCTTTCTTCTGATTTGTTTAGATAACCATTTTGCCCATCTTGTTTCACTAGTTTAAACAGTTGGCGTTCTCTTCCCTTTCCACCATTCCTGGCGCCTGTCTCCTTGTCACGTTACTATTTACTTACCCCTAAATTTTTTTATTCATTTACATGATAGGCATTGAGTATGGTATTACTTACAACTTAGGTGGTTAACAGTTGGTCTGTATTTATAACAGGTTTCATGGTTTATATTCCTTGCCCCTTCTTATTCCCAGGTGCTTTTTACGACATGGTATCGCCATTGCTCTGTGACGTGAATGGGAATCAGGTTTGAGATGAATGGGAGAGAATCGAAAGGTCATTTCCCTAGTGAGCGTTAAAGCCAGCCCGTTCTCCGCGTGTCATCCGAGCTAGGTGGACCAGATTTTAGCAACTGACCCTTTCTCGAATCACATATTAATTCGGCCGGGCTTCGATTGCTCGACGATCGTCAATAGAAACCGGTTCATCAATCTTCAAGGCCTCGCTCTGCACGGGACAAAGCTGATGATTTTGATATAAAAACTGCAGGAGGATGGGCGTACATAAAGTCCCAACCCATCAGATCCAGTCCGATTCTGCAAGAAATAAATTACCTAGGTCGAAGTAATATCACCATTGTTCCTCCCAGGGGAAAATTTTGCAGATCGACCCTTAATCTCTAGAGTAACCAAAGGCAAACCCATATATTCGAGCAATTGTTATCAAATGGTTCCTCTGAGGCCTTTCACCACATCCCTCAAAGCAAAATCGACAAGCTCAAACAAAAGCTCGCCCTAGCAGAGCTCCCGAGCTCCCTGATGAACTCGACGGAGCAGGGTGGGATCTAGGGATACCACTCACCGAAGTTTCGAGGTTAGCAAAAGCCTGGGAAACCTGGGATTGGAGACTGGCTGAAAGGAGGCTGAATGAGCAATGTGCTCAGTTTGAGACTGATATTGACGTGGATGGGTTCGGGAGCTTGAGTATTCATTTTGCGTATCAGGAGAGCACAGTTGCAAACGCGATCCCGTTGCTTTTTGTGCATGGATGTAAATGATGGATACACCATCATGAATGGACGAGTAGGGGGAATCATCTTTCTGACCTATGGTCAATACAGGGCCGGCTCTTTATTGAAGTGTTGCGGATTCTTCGTCTGCTATTTCAAAACAACGATGGCGATGATGCTAGCAGCCCAGCCTTTCACGTAGTTGGCCCCCTCGCTGCCAAACTTCGGCTTCAGTCAGGGTGTCCAAACGAGGTTTTGGGCTGGCTCAGTATGCAGAAACCTGCAACAAGCCGATGCACCAACTGGGGTACCCTGAGTATGTCACGCAGGCTGGTGACTGGGGGTATTGGATTACTCGAGCTATTGGGAAGCTCTATCCTGAAAGCTGTAGGGCGAGCCATTATAATATGGCCTACACGGGCCCACCGACTTTCAAAACTAATCCTCTACTTGCACTACAGAATGCACTATTACCATACAGCGAGGATGTATAGGAGGGCGCTGAAGCGCAATGAACTGTTCGGGAGAGAGGGAAAAGGTGAGTTGGATGGCTTCATGCGTATTTTACGTGCTATATCAAATGCAAATCAAAAGGGTGATAAATATGCACATGGCAGAGTTGGACAAGCAATGAGGATACAATACAATGCTGACCCCTCAAAAAAGGCTATAACTATATTGAGTCTACAAAACCTCAAAACACTCGCCTACGCTCTCCACGACTCCCCATTGCTCTCCTGGCTTGGATCTATGAGAAATTGCACGACTGGTCTGACGCATACCCCTGGACAGATGACGAAATCCTCACCTGGATATGCATATATGCCTTTAGTCGTGCGGGGCCTGGTGCTGCGCATAGGATATACTTTGAAGTTGCCCATGCGGATGCTGCCATCAAAAACCAGTATGGGAAACTGGTGACACTCAATTATGGAGGTATGCTGGAGTATACTGAGGAAGTGAAGATTGGGCTTACGTATAATCCGAAAGAACTGGAAGCGTTACCCACTCGATGGGGTGGGACATTTGGGAATGTAGTGTTATCAGGCGGAGGATGAAAGGGGAGGGCAAGCTTTTGCATTCGTTGCTTTGATATGAAAACTGGCCTGAGCAGCAACTTCAACGCCATTTATCACTCTGTTAACGTACAGTCATAGGCACTTCTATGCCCACGAACATCCGAATTTCTCACCTGCGACTTGAAATGCATGTTTGGGAATGGCAGAGGAGCATATGGGATAATACTAGGCAAGGATGGATACTAATCATGGGTTTCGGTTGAAATGTGGCATTTTAAATAGCGATGTAAGAAGTCAAATATCTAAGGAATAATCGATTTATATAAAATATCTTTTTATACTTATTTAATAAGACTTTTATATATTTCTTCTCTTTTATATTCTTCAACTTCTTTATTTATTCACTTTCAGAGTTCTATATAATATATAGAATACTTACTTTTCTTATCGCCCTGCTTCTCGACTATCTATTTACTAGTTAAGGAATAGCCAAGAACACCAGACCCGATACACTTTTTATCATGCCAATTTTCTATTTCCCTCATTTCCAGAGAAAACTCACGGCGGGTACACAGAAGAACGCGACCACTTCCCCCTCGCTCTAATCCGTTTCCCATAGATATAAAAGAGATACGGAATCAGTATCAGAGGCAACGACACAAAACCCAACAGGCTCGACGCCCACGGCACTCCAAGCTTCCCATACATAATCCTAGAAAACAATGGGAACGAACCCGCGGAAAAACTGCGTAGAAACGTGGTAGCGCCAATCGCACTAGCCGAGACGGTTGAGAATGTATCGATTAGATAATTCAAGGCTGCCTGGAAGACAGTGAAGAACCCAAAGCCCAAGGACACTGTACCGATCACCTGAGCGATCCAGGGGATGTGGGTCGGAGACGTCCAGCCGAAGATGAATAGGCCTGCAGAGAAGAACACAGACCCGACCATCATGGGTGGCAGGCGGGCCTCAGGGACTGGTCGCCGGTTGTTGGCGTAGAATTTCTTCAAGTAGAATTTCTGGTTATAGATATTTACACCTCCGCCCAAGATGACACCGGCCAGCAAGCCAAGGAATGGAAGGTGGCCGACGAGATAACCCCAGCCACGGACTTCAATGAAGGCGATGGGGAAGGAAGATAAACTGAGATATAGAATGCCGTAGACGAAGGAGGCGTACGTGGCGACGAGGAGACAGATGGGAGTGCACAGGAGCTGGAAGGGGACGATCAGGTATTTGTTCGCCATTTCGATGAAACTGACATCCCATTCTTCATGGTGGGCGTGCAGAGCCCAGTTGCCTGTTTCATAGCGGAGACGACGGGCTTTCTTGACAAGGAGGGCGGCAGGGTAGGATTCGTCTATGAAAATCACATCGAGGATAAGGAAGAAGATCATCATTATGCCCGTTATCTAGGTCAGAGTTAGTTTTGAGTTGCTAGACCCACGTTCGTTGGAGAATGCCAAGCAAAATGGGATAGGGGCCGGATATTCCCCGGCCAGTACCAAAACTCACATATTCCGTCCATCTCCAACGCAGATCGCTCTGCACAATAGCTGCTCCCACAATTGGCCCCAAACTGGGTCCACCAACAACAGCCAACGCATAGCCGACAATAGCGACAGCCCGTTGTTCAGGCGGGAACAAATCACTCAACACTCCTCCAGTATTCGTGATCGGCGCGGAACCAAAGAAACCAGCGAAGAAACGTGATATGACCACTGTCTGGATATCCTTTGCACTGCCAGCTGCGAACATAAATATCGCAGCAATAAAATACGGGAAGAGGACTGCAGGCTTGCGTCCGTAGAGTTCGGACAGCGGGGCCCATAGTAAGGGCCCCAGGCCAAAGCCAAAGAGCAGGAAGCTGACCCCCAGCACCCCCACTGGCTCTGAAGCGTTGAAGTCGGCGTCAACTTGGGCGATTCCGGGAGAGTAGCTGGGCGAAATGATCAGCATATGATGTCCCTAATTAGGGGAGGGATGGGTGAATGGTTGATAGCTCATTTGGTATCAATATAGGTAGGCTTGGGTCTTACACTGCGCTGGACCACGTAGAACCTGCAAGAAAGCGTGAGGAAGAAGTATTAATTGAATGCTCCACGTGCCGCTACCACGAAAAGGGACAGCTAGATTCCATACCCATTGTAGTCAACCCATATAGAAGTGTCGTGATCGCCTTTTTGCGAAATGGCCAATTTATCGGGTTATACGCATCATCAGGTCCGTCAAAGCCAACAATGACATCCGGTGACGTTTTCTGGTGCGATAGCGGGTGGGTGAATGGGCGCATCTGGTCCGGATTACGACTCCGGACATGGCTGAGGACGGTATTGTAATGCTGGGAGGCGGTCGACATTGCCGAGTGGATTCTACTCAAGCTGGGGGATGGTTGGCTGGAGATGCTGGCTGGATGATGTTGCTGTAAGTTTTCAAAGGAATTGAGGTCATCCCCATCGTTGAATTCAGGCCCGCTCTTCTCCGAGATACGCGGTGAAGTGCCATTGCCGGCCGGCAGTGAGGAAGATGCTGCTGTCATCTCGTTTTCAAGTTTCAGGGTGGTAGAGTGCCTTGCAATATTTAAGACGAGGGACGTGGGTAGAAAGAGTTTAAGATGGGGATAGCGAGGGCTTGGAGAAATTGGAGATATGTCTCTGAGATTATTGCACCCAGGAGATCGAATGATTATGCGCTGTAAGTCGGCTGGAGGTGGGCTAATCGGGAATAGAGTTTATCGACTTGTTTAGGCGTAGCCCCTGGCGATCAAGGTTGTCTTTTGTCTTCGGTGAAAGACCGAGTGAGATTTTATATGCTTGACACAAAACGCTGAATTAGAAATGAGAAGAAAGAACCATACCATAGGAGCGAAAGTTCCCTATATATTGCAGACATCAAGGCGCGAACTATTTAAAGAAGTTGCAGACGTCATAGCCTGTTCCTTCGGGGGCATGTGGGGCCCCGAAGGTATGTTCTGTCTGTCTGTACTCGGACTTGAGACGGGAAGAAGCCGGAGAAAGCAGGGGAAAAACAGTCCGTAACAAAGCCGCATCCCCACCTAAGGCGTCATACACAAAGGGACTTGGGAAACAAAACGAAAAGGAAAGGAACCGGGGAGACAACAGGGACCAAAAATAATGAGAAAACAAGCACCCAAGAAAGAAACAAAAATATAGAAAATAAAATATCAAGATCAAAAGAGAGGGAACATCTCTCTTAGCTTGCATTGGCCGCTTCAAATTTCCGTAACGTCTCCTCCGCCATGGTAACTTTGAGACCGACCCTGGCGTCTAGTTCATACGTTTCCCATTTCGCAACCTTGTCAATCCACTCTCTGCACTCGCAAACTTTACGCCGGTCATGGGCTTCTACGCTTTCGTTTGAGCGGGGGATATGCTCGGAGGAAACTGGAGTTGACGGTTTCGATGAAGAGTTGGGGTCGTCTGTTGCCGAGGTGGATTCAGGCCGACTTGGAGAATTGGCAGGGTCATCTGCTGGTGTGGAACAAAGTGGGCGATACGCGTAGCGTTCCATCCACAAATTTGCTGCCATCTCATAGTGTGCGGTTGGGCAAGTCCAGTCATCTTTAAGATGGCCTTTGAATGTCGCCCTGTCGTACACGAGGATCTGGGACTGTAATAGTTTCTTCGACTCATCGTGTCTTCTCAGGAAACGCAATATGGAAGCGCGGAGGAGAGCTAAAATGGCACGCTCGTCTGTACTTTCACGATCCCAGTGTTTGTTATGCTTGCTCTCTGACCACTCTAAGCATCTCAGAGAATTTTCAAGCTCTTCCTTGTTCATGCGACTGTGGCCGTTCCAAAAGTAGATCATTTCTTCAAACGGGTCTACGCCGATCGCGTCGATAAAGTCGACATTCCATTCCTTGGCACGTGATTCCCATTTTGAAATTTTCCGGGCCACGAATACATCAAAGGGAAGTTGACGTGCCATAAATTTCTTTTTGCCTGCTTGGGATGGAGCCTTTTGGAATAACTCAACGGCTTTGGCAGCATGCTCCTTGGCCAGAGAAGGCGAATCCTGAGCATTCTGCCGGTAGATGGCAAGATGAGCTGATGCGGCAATGTAATAATATAAAGCTCGGGACCACGAATTGAGGTCAGCGCACTAGACGGTAATAAGTCAGGGAGGTTTATAAATAGTCCGGAGATTAAAGGTGAATGTGGGGATGCGGCTGGTTTGGACTCCTTACTTCTATAAATGATTCCGCACACAATTCATATTTATGAAGATGCATAGCATTCAAACTCTTTTCGAACACACACAACGCTTCAACCTGCTTCAGAGGGCTTTTGGTATCGCCCGAGAGTAGCGCTAGGGCAGAGGTCAAGTTTTTCTTTGCCCCTTGCATTAGAGATTCCTCCAAGAGCCAGAGATGGCTATGGGGAAATCGATTCCTCATTTCTGACAATAAAGTAGAGAGTCGACGTTCCGAATAGCTGTCCGTGCCGTCTTCGGTTTCATTTGGAGAGTCGTCGATGATGTCGCAATTTCGAATAAACCCATTATAGTACGCTAGCAGGGCCAGACCGGCAATGGCACCATTTAAATTATTGAATTTGCTAGCTTGCCATAGCATCTGAAGACCACGGGTTCGATCTCCTCTAAAGCCCACAATATAGAGCAATTTTGAAAATGCAGGCGGAACCATCGAGATAAGGAGCAGCAAAAGCCCAAAGCAGAGGTTCGCGCCGGAATGGACAAATACATCCACAGGATTTGTAAATAAATCTGAATCGGGATCGTGGTCCAGATGTGGTGATGAGGATGAAAGGCTCTCAGAAGGCCGTGACGATAGTTTTTCAGCTTCCGCAAGAGAGAGCGCCGCAAAATCGTTGGTAAGTCTTCGCTCGCCACTCTGAACTGAGGGTATAGGAGTTTCATTGCGTGACGAATGTGAATTTTTGAGCATGGAGTCTGAAGCCCTGTCGGCTTCTATTCCAGGAGTTTTTAGCTTGTGCTTTCCATTTTCTGACGGCTCCGTGGACAATGCAAGAGGGAGGCTAGGCGACAACGAGATGGTCGAGGAGGCCATCTTCCTTGTAGCTTCCGCTTGCAGATATTTCTCCTCCATTTGCATTATACTATCTAATGCGATGTACGCTTTCCTTAGTTTGTAGAAAGCCTTGATGCTCTCCGTTAGGCTTTCGTTAAGGATTCCAACCAGAGCAGCCATAAGCTGCGCCATACTTCGGCATAGAAGATATTCAGTCCCAGGATTATAAATCGGCGACCGGTACGCATTGCGGGCATGGGAATTATGTTGAGCTTTATGGTAATCGTTTGACGCGGACGTTTCCGCCTCAGATAGCCGTTCGCCCGCTGGATAGAAAACATTATAAGGATGAGACAGCGGAAACGACAGAGGCGGGCAACTATACCAAGGCGCATGATTTCCTGCTCAAAACCCAATGTAGCCCGCACGAACGAGACGATTCCTTTTCCAAGCTATACAACGACACATAGAAACACCCATTGTATTAATCTTTGCTTCCAGAAACGGAGGAACCAAAACCCATTATCCCCCGCAAACATATCCTTGACAACCCGTCGTGCATACACACCTTATGGAAAGAAGAATCACCCTTGTTTAGACCCTCTTCAGCAGCGTCAACGTCATCGTTCATGATGTAAGTAGCAGCTGCATAGGCACCGTGTCAGCATGAGTTGATCTCAAGGAGTTGTTTGGTGTGTTCTTGCGGGGGCCGAGGGGGGCCGAAGATCTAAATACCTCGAAGAGCACTCTCAACTTCATATGCCAATTGACGCAAAACAGCTGTGTCAGCTACTGAACTAAGATCCCAGAGAGCTGTACTCCGTATAGGAGGCCGTAACAACTTACGATCTTGTGACTCTGCCAGTGCATCAAGCGACTGCGTGGAGACGCTCGTCGGAGCTGCCTTGTTGTACAGCCATGTTCCCACTCGAAACATGGCGTCTTTTGACGGAGAAAGGGGCGGATATAGGACAATTGAAGCTGCAAAGACCTTGTACAACGGACGGAAATGAACAAACAGAAGAGAAAGAGCTCAAAAAAGGTGTGGGTATCCCATGAGATAAAAAATGGCGTGACCCGTAGCCGAAGGAACTAGAGGCACACGAGTCTATCTATATATAGCTCACGACGGGTCAAGCATTGTAGAGGGAGAGCATACGTGGACAAGATAGCACTGTCTCAGAATTGCCCGCATACAGGGAAGAGAAAGGAGAGAGAGAATCGCGAGAAGAAGCAGGAAGAAAGAAAGAAAAGAAGGAAGTTGAGGGAAGATAGCGAACGCAGCCGGGTTTTGCGGCGGAGAAAGTAGTCTAGTCCGGTGTCAGAAGGAAGCCTGGAGCTGGGTGGTGTGCGGCTGTAATTACCGTACATGGCATGGGGGTACATCGAAGCTCATCAACGCAACTTGGAGTTTTCTTGAATGCATCGCTCTGCTTCCCTTTAAATGTCTAGAGCCCAGCTCTGGCGTCCTTTTAAAAAGTTTTTCTTGTAGGGCTTTATTCTATCGACCTTAAAAACTCGTATCGGACAAAAGCGTACCTTGAGCGTCATAGTTCTTGTCGTGTTGTCAGTTGTAATATATTAACTACGCTGTAGAACGATAGATCTTGGCATGTTTATCATCCTGAGGTGCAAACAGTCACATGATATCAAATCGACTTCGCATCATCCCGGAAGTCATATCACGCATCATACCGTGGTATAAATATTGCATCTTCAAAGCTCTCCAACACGGCACAAAAATAATTTAGCACATCTCTCCTAGTACTTACCACCGGCGATACCGTACTCCACATCTAAAACATAGTCAAGCAATCACCCAGGAGCAGAAAGCCTCATTCTCAATCCCCGCCTACCCCAAACAGCAAAATCTCCAACCATGTCCGCCCAAGCCACATCAACGCAATCCACAAGCCAAAAACAACCTGATGCTGCACCCCAGACTCAACAGCAGAAGCCCGCCGTCCTAGAAGAAGATGACGAGTTTGAAGATTTCCCAGTCGAAGGTATTTCCTCCCTCTCTCCCCCAGCAAGTGGCCTTTCTTCTCCGCAATTTTACTCCACGATCTCATGGGTGCCCGAAACGAAGCATCTCGATCCCCTTGATATATATCCATGTGCCTATATACGTTCCTCAATCTATCTCCAGTGCAAAATGCTAATTTCCCTTCTTTTTCATTCCTTCCACTATAGACTGGCCTCAAGAAGAAGCTGAAACAACCGGCTTCGCGTCTGGCGGAGACACCACCAACCACCTCTGGGAGGAGAGCTGGGACGACGATGACAACAATGAGGATTTCTCGAAACAGCTAAAGTACGGATGCCATTCTCCCCCCCCCCTCTCCCACCTTGGCCAGCTGCTGTTGTATCATTCTTTTTTTTTATATATTTGCCGTTCTCTATCTTTGCTGACACAAGGCTATGTTCTTGAGTTTTGCTTGTAGGGAGGAGCTAAAAAAGGTCGAAGCGGGGAAGGGATCATAACATTCTGCCTATTCCGGTTTTTCTTTTTTCTAGGGTGTGGGAGCTTTGTTTATTATTTTCTCCTCCTCTTGACGGACGGACGATCGTGGGAGGGGATTGATATGGGAGTATTGATTTGAAACGAGATGATATAAATCAAATAAACCGGCGCTGGGGTTCTTCTTTGTTTTATTGTTTTTGTCTGTTTGTGCGTCTAATCGTTGTTTTACTGCTGTTCTGTAAAACTAATAGCTTTTCTTTTTTCTTGTCGTTTTTTGTATGGCTTTCCATTTTACAGGTGAAATATTTTAGCATTATCTTGCTCCTTTGTGGTTTTCTTCCTATCTTTCAAGAGTTCATTGAAAAAGAGGGGGTAGATTTGTTTATATGCGCATGCGCCCTGATCCCGATACAAACACGACCGAACTGCTATTAGACAACGACAGTGAGTGAATTCGACTTTTGTTCTTTCTGCCAGACGTTCTCTACCACGCTGCATAGCAATAGACGGTTGAGGATATTAGAAGAGACTCAACTCAAGAGGTTGAGAGAGTCATCAAAATAATAAACCATGATGCATCAATAGGATTATATCATGAAAGATCCCTGGCCTATTAAAAAAAAAAAAAAAAAAAAAAAAAAAAAAAAAAAAAAAAAAGAAATACCATAATCCAGGGGTATTCCCCTATCTTCATCTTCGCCTATTTATTAATTTACCTACCTACCTCTCTCTGCCCCAGAAACCCACTAACCAACTCCTCAAACCTCTCCGGCTTCTCCACCATCGGCAAGTGCCCCGCGCCCTCCACCACCAAAAACTCCGCCGCTGGCTCTGACTCCTTCCTGGCATCACCCCTCCCCATCATCCCAACCATTTCCCTCATAGTCTTAGGCAACACCCCATCCTCATCCCCGACCAAAAATGCCCCCTTTGCCCCTCTATACCTCCCCATTTCCTCCCGCAGATCATACTGAAATAAAGCCTCCGCAACCCTCCTAAACCCCCCCAAACTATTGTCCTTAACCATCTCCTTAACCCGCCGAAACCTTCCCTCCAACTCCCCCTTTCCTCCATCACAAGTTCCCCCCCTAACAAACCATCTGCGGACGGTGACCTCTGCCAACTGCCCCCCAACAATCGGCTCATCCGTATACGCCGCCAGCGCCCCCTCCGCCTCCGCCAGCGCAATCCTCTCCGCCCACACCTTGCTATTCTCATCAGGACTCTTCGCGTTCGTGTCACAGGCGATGAACGTCCCCACACGCTCAGGGTATTTCAGCGCGGTGTTCAGCACCGTCGCACCGCCGAGGCTCACGCCGATGAGGGCAGCGGCTTTGGGCACACGCAGGGCGTCGAGGATGGTTATTATATCTGCGGCCAGCACGTCGAGCGTTATTGGTTGCTGGCCGCAGTTGGATGAGCGACCGCGGGTGAGGTAGCGGAGGATTCTGTACTGGCGGTTGGAAGGGTAAAAAGAGGAGGAGGGGGAGAAGAAGGTGGCGATGAAGTCGTCCCAGATTCTGTAGTGGGTTAGGATGCTGTTGCTGAGGATGATGAGGGGCGCGTTAGGGTTTGTGGAGCCTTCGAGGCGGTAGGGGAGGGTGACGCCGTCCGGTGTCTTGATGTATGATTGGATGGCGGGGACGGCGGGTTCGGAGGAGGAGGATGTTGATGACGTGGGGAAGGTTTTAGTAAGGCCATCCGGGGCTAGGAAGGGGGTAGTCGCTCCCTTTTCTGTCTCGGCAGAGAGAGATGCTAGATCCCGCGGCGCGGCGGTAAAGGTGTAGTAGTGTTCGTAAACTCGTCTAGAGCGGTCCTTGACCATGTTTGCCATAACCCGTTCGCGCCAGGGGGTAGCGTTTACAGCTTTTAACTCAGGCCCGCTGGGTCCATCGTGGGACTCATACTCGTGTAATGAGAGATATTCTCTGACCGCCGTGGGTTCGACGGCGGAGCTCACGAAGCGTCTTGTCCGCAGCCACCCGGGCACCCTGGAGAGGAGAGGTAGATGTTCCTCGCGGTACCATTTGTTGAACTCCTCTTCCTGGTCCGGGTACAGGGTCTGGATAATTGCCACGAGAACCCTTTTGTTTTTCTTTCCCTCTGCCTCAGCCTCCGCTTCTCCCTCTGTCAATGCATCCAGGGGCACATACCCCTCCACCTCCTTGCTCTCAACAAAGTCATACAACCGTCTATCAATCGTGATCTTCGCCATCACTTCCTTTTCGCGCTTGCTCTTGATCTCGTCACGGCGCAGCCGCAGGTAAGGCTCACACTTTAACTCGGCCATGTCCGTGACGTCGTAGATGGCAAGCCATTCAGGGGATAATGGGTGGCTCGAGCTGGACGAGCCATTCACAGTGTCTGTGGCGCGGAAGCGGAAACCGTTCGTGATGAAGGGGAGACGAAGGCGGCTTGGGCCGTGCTCGTTGTTGTACCAGTCATGGAATTTGGCCGGGGAGAGGTCGTCTCTCGGCTGCATTGTTATGTAGAGTAGCCCGGGTGCCATGGTGCCTGTGAATATTTCTTCTTGTGCTTTTTGGTTTTTCTTTTTTTCCTTCTCTCTCAGAAATTGATGCCCGGACCCATGCAAGATAGCTAGTATATATCATAAAACTGGATTACCCTGGTCAATTCAATATCTACCCGCTATCCGAATTCTTTCCTGAAGTAGGGCCTGGGCAGCAATATCTCTGGGAATAGGAATAAATTTGAGTCTCCCTTGTCTAAGAATCAGAAGAGAGATGTAGGTTGATGTGTGTATGCATCTTATATGCAGTGGATTGACGTTTACCTACCGGACGCTGTTGCCGAGCCGGTCAGGTCAGGTGGTCGGGACATGAATGACCCTGGCCGTAATGGCGAGGGGATGGGATACAAAAGCAGAGAAACTCGTATCCCTGACCTTGTGGAAAGCTTGCCATGTTTGTAGGTAACACAATTAACACAATTCTTCCCTGGCTGCTCTAGATGTTTGATTTCACTGTAGATTCGCTGTTCAAAATACTGCGGAGAGGTTCTATTTGTATGACGTCATTGCCTTAGAGGGTGTGAGAGCACAGGTCAAGTTTTCTACTTCCTAGGTAGTGGCACGGGCCACATTTGCGAGATCAGCTTACACAGATGAAAGAGATCAACTAGTCAAATATCTTAAAAACACCCACATCGCGAAGAATCTGAGAACCTGTCCAATTCAGCGATATTACAGTTGATTGGGTGCCTACGGCCCAGATGCCAGCGGATGGCCTCACTAAGGTTCTGCCACGCCAGAAACATACAGAATTCGTCAAGATGTTAGGCCTAGACTCCTAGTTGATATATCAGATATCATCAATGCGCAAGCAGAATAAATGGTATAAATGATCTATCTTGATGTAATCTCTGCAGATTCATCTACACTCCTTCTATGACTATTTCCTTGCAGCTTTATTTACACTTCCTTTTACATGTTACATTCACTGAAGGGGGTGTGTCAGGAAATAAGAGGTCATACACTATGAACATCATCAACATTGTATTACTACTATTTTTCTTATCATCAGCTTACTACAATACTCATCTAATACTTACTAATGCTAGCTCTCTTGGCTCGCACATTTGTTTTACTATAAATAGCTCTATCTTTTGTATGGAATTAGATATAATAGATAGTGTACGGATAATATAAGAAGTAGATCTTGATGCACATAAGATTCATATGTTTCCGACATATTCATCCGAGATACCATTCCGACAGCTGGAGACACTGTTGTTTGAATCTGATGATCTGTTTTCCCTCTGAAAGCTTTATACTCTCCCTTTACAGAACCGGGGTTAACGAATCTGTAGAGTCTTGCACCATCGCAGCGCAACTCCTTTTTATGCAGTTGCAACATGCAGGTGATGCTTCATCACATTTGACATGCCTTGCTTTGCAGGTTGAACAACCAGTGAAATTTCTATCACAATATCTTCACTGATGAGCTGAACATGTGATTGACTGTCTCACACCAAGAGAATTGAGCTCCTGAAATTTCTTAGCACAGAGAGAATGGACAGGTGTGGAACTCATCATCTCTGCAAGACAAAATCTGCCGGGTTGGCTTGTGGGAAATATTTTAAGGGGATGTCAATGGAGGCAAGAACCGCTTCTTATCACCTTTGGAATGTTAAGAGTAGATGATATTTGCATGGCCCCTCAATTATCTCTCGGTGAACGAAACACACAAAGAGTAGTCATAATTAGCTGTGCTGTCAGTAGACAGCGGACCTAACCTATTGCAATATACATTCTACATCTTGAAATATTGTAACTGGCTTGAAAGCTGATAGGGTCAAAATCTAGAGAAGCTTTTTTATGAAGGCATTCTGTGTGCTTAAGCTGTCGGAAAAATTGTTGATCCGAAAGTCCGTGAATTAACCAGCAAGTTATAATGAAAGCATATTCCGCAATACTCATGCCCACATGCGCATTTGTTGACCGCCGAGCCAGTTACTTCGCAGGAGCAGCACTTGATGGCTCGATTAACCCAGGTCTGCTGTTTTTGTTGTTGCTCTCTCAGTTTCCGCTTCAGTTTAGAATAAGGCAACATATAGAGCACAGAGTCTGTTTCTGTTTCCGGGTCTTCATCGATCTTGATAGCTTGGCTAAGGGTCGCCGGGACTGCGCGTGTTTGGTTGTTTGTCTGAGCATCATGGCGTCTATTCGCTTGGTTCGGTTCGTGTGATCGGTCAACAGATCTTTCCCTACGCAGTCTCCTTTCGTGCAAGCACACCAGACACGATGTATGGCCACATTGTTGACATTCTCCCCCACCGCTAACATCCTCCTCACATCCGCAGCAGTAGAGTCTCAGACGTTGGCGAACTGCTCTTTGAACATATCCTTCCTTGGTTTGGCTTTTCCCCCGTATTTTGTTCAATAGATCATGAGCCGTGATTTGGTCGTCATCTTGATCCTGAGATCTGTCGGTTCTTTTGTTGAGTTCTGCATTTTCTTGTATCGCTCGGGTGCTTGCTCTTTTCCGTATTTTCCGGTCCGAGGTCAAATCTTTGTCCATCTCTGAAAAGGCGTTAGCTACACAATGAAAAGAACATTCTAAGAGAACCATATACCTCTCAAAACCAGAATCACTTTGCTTGCTGCCGTGCCTAAAGTAACTGTTTGTGTACTCAACTGTACCTTCGCCAGACCATGCAAGTGAAGAATATTGTAAGAAATTGTGCTTGAGTCTTTAGCTTTAATATCCTTCTGGGGTGATAAGCCTGTTGAACAGGATACTTACAGGTTCGCCTATTTTTGTGAAGTAGAAGCATCCGACAAGCTTCCCAGTATGGCCTTCCACAGCAGGCATAAAGGCGAGAATGGAAATGAAACCCGGAAGCTAGGTCAATTAGTATTGTTATGATATGTTATTTAGACGGAAATAGCTAAAACTGGCCAGGGAAAAGTCAAATAAAAACACCCCGAGCTTTCCCGTCGCTACAAGCAGTCAATTCATCATATCGCAGGTCCCGTATATCCAACGCCGACACCAATCGCAACATTCATGTATGTACATCCACAAGTTTGTCCTTTATCCGATCACACAAAGCTCATAGTGACGGCAGAACCAACCCTCCAAGCATACATGCACTGCCCCCCCGAAGATTGTCTTGTGTTTTGCCCCTGTATGATCCGTCCAGGCCATGTATTCAGAGCTTCAGATGGGATAGTCATGGTGCGGGTGTGTGATCCATAAAAAGAGAGTGTAACGGCGCGAGGAAAAGAAGTCTTTTCACTAGTGATATGCAGGTGGCCACTACTCAATGGGCACGACCGGCTGAATCGCACCGCCCACGAGCTCATAAGATCGGATAGTGAGGCTTCTAGTAGCTTGCCAGTGCCTGCACTGACAAAGTAGCTGCCTCCACGCTTTAGAAGTTGGAGAACAGGCGCCGAAGCTTGGTTCTGTTAGCAAGGCTATCACAAATGGGGAGGACATGTTCTGTTGGGATGATCTCAAAACTAGAGGATTTTACAGGCGCTCCCTGGAAGCTGGCAACGGTGCTCCGCTGAACTGTGTGTTCAAATTTGACTGAAAAGTTTTCAGTTTGGGTGATGATTGTCATGGCATTGTTCTGCTTCTACGTCAGTGACTGTCGGAAAAATTGTTGATCCGAGAGCCCCCGAAAATTTACTAAGCAAAGTTGAATTAACATAGTTAATCAATCAGTCAACAGATCAAATCACTCAACAGATCAGCTTCTTCACCCTTTCAAGACTAACTGCTTAATTGAGCAACAACAAATTTGTATTATTCTTATTAAATTATATGCCAGTATACCTCTGGCCTATTTACATTGTCTAATAATGTGTCTCACTATATTACACTTGCTACAGTGTGGTGATACTCACTTCTTACAGAAACTCTCATCTCTACTTCTTCAATTTGACTACTCTGAGCAGTCTGAGTCCTGGCTAAGCCTTCCTCCCTAGTTAGGATTCCTCTCTGATCTATATATGTACAGTCTTGGCCTTGCTTGCATTTCTGCTTCTCATTTACAGCTCATAAAGCCCTATTCTCCTGAGCTAGAGGTGTAGCTCCATGTATGACTAGTTGACAGTCACTCATTCTCTATTCTCAGGCTGGATAAGAGATGTCTTTTCTACTCTTTCAGACCTAGTTATCACTAAGACTGATGAGATAACTCTTATAAAAAACTCAACTTCATCAAAGTTGTAGATATTCTCTGATAGAATCTCATACTTCTTGATGATATTATTCACCACTCTCAACCACTTTTGTATGATCTCTGGGTTTTTATATCAGGCTCACTGATGGTCATAGCTGCATGTAAGCTTGATAGCAAGCTTAGAATGATGTTGAATAAATCTCTGTACTCAGCATTCTCCAATGATAGGTGGGATAGTAGATCCGCGGGCCTTGAGTAGTTGAATGGTCATATCTCATGTGTGTGATCCGGGGGGGGAGACCTCGCTCATCCATGGATATTATCCATTGAACTAGGGCTTCTTCTTCAGTAGAAGTAAGCTTTCGGCATGCTGAGACTGATATTTCATATGATATGCATCTGTGGATTCAACTGTGGAGTGTAGTGTATGACACACCATATGCCCGAGCAGCAGTCTTAATACATGAAATCTGCTTGGATTCATAGACAGAAATAGCTAATAAAAACATTCTTTCCTTGCTGGAAGCCTGAGACTTTGAGGCTGAAGGCATATATAATGAATATGTTGATGAAGGTGGTTGGGTGGAGGAGTCGATCCGTTGAGTGATTCGATCCGTTGACCGATTGATTACGTTAGTTAAGTTTCTACAAAACTAGATATCATCTAAGCGGAAGCATGCTGGGCAATACTCATGCCCACATACGCATCCGTTGACCGTTGAGCCAGTTCCTCCGCAGTAGCAGCACTTGATTTTAAAGAGTGAGAGTTGTCAATTAGTTTTTAGGTGCGCAAGACATAAAAGAGTTTGTGAAAAGAGAGATGTGGACGGCGAAAGATTGGTAGAAAGTAAGCTACCATTTATATACAACACCCCACGGCCGGGTAAGGTTAAAACAATATCCTAGTTTTCCACCCAGCCAAAGACTATACTTAAAATACAATTTTCAGGGATGCAAAATGGGGTTGATCATTTCCGCTCATTCTCCAAGACATCAGCTGTGCCCAATCCCTCATCCCAGGCTAGCCCGTATTTGCTTGCGAGTTCTTTCAGATCCTCATCCATCTTTTCGACTGCGCCCCTAGCACCCTTTGCTTTGATGAACATTTCCCAATCAGATATCCCTACCCTGATTCCATCTTTGGTTTTCGCGGCAAATAGTACGCGAGTAGATTTCAAGTCATACATCAAACTGTAATAACATTTGACTCCTTTAATGTCATCAATTGCGAACTGGTAGAGCCTGGTTTGCCTGTCGTATCTACCTATTAGCAATGATTAAAAACAAGGTGGGGAAACATACTGTCCAGGAGACATTGGTGTGTGGATGTTTGAAGCGTCTTTCGCATCCTCATTGCTGGGCACATCTGGTGCCAACCAGCTCAAAAAGCTGAGTACCTGCTGCGCCATGGTCAATAGTCTCTCGAAAGCTACCAAACGACCTTTTAACACAGTCAGCAACTCGACATGGTAGAGGAATGAGATATCAACCAACTTTATGCTGTACAATAAAAGCAAAAGCCAGTCCCTTCATATGCAGCAGCAGGAGCTAATTTCCACCTTCTTGATCAACTGAGCAGGCTGCAAAGACCTTGGCCAGCCCGGACTGAAATAAGGCAACGAGCGAGCGGTGAAGCATCTCTTATAGTCAAAAGCAGTGAGGCTCGGACTGAAGCTAGGCATGTATATCGCACTCGCTCTCCCAGGTGATCGACGCAAGTTTCCCTGTGCCCTCGACACATCCTGGCATCCCTGCCTACTGCAACACCAGCGGCAATCGACCACTGTCCTCATTGGGCAAAGGAAAATCCAAAAAGACTCATTTTCGGGCTCAATATAAAGATAATATTGTTATGGTATTAAATGGAAAAGGCTAAAACTATTCAACGTTCAAGCAATTAGAAGCAAGTAAATTTAGAAGAGTATGGGGCCTTGCTACACTGACTAGTATTCACAGGTAGCCACATTCCAATGCAATTAGAAATAGGAAATATTGGAAGTGTTGTCTGGGAAGCCATGTAACGGCATAGTGTTCCCTAGTTCCCCAGGCTGAGTGGAAATATTTCAAGTCATGTAGACATCAATAGTGGTAATCAGCATCACCTGTAGCCATATCAGCACAAGTTGAAGAGAGAACCATAGTTTCACTGAACTTACTTGGATTGAAAGGGGTCAGTTGTGAAAGAGTCTGCCTGCAGCAAACCCTGCTGTTACAAGAACAAGAAGTGCATGGATTGTAACTTCACAGATTACAGGCCCCTGAGATGATATACCGCGAATTCCATGCCAAAAAAGCAGACCGGCAATCACAAGTACTGTGTAGTCAATAGACATGATCACACCTGTATCTTTCACCGACACCTTGTAGATGACTGAGCTAACTCAATGAGCACAAGGCCTATCAAGAGTAGGGAGAAGAGCACATCATAAGATCAACCCGAGCTTTATCACCGGGGACAGAAAACCATATCCTAGAAATAATCAATGCAGCAGGGCGTTTGTAAGTGGTCCAGCCTGAATTTTGGTTTGCTGGATCATCTAGACATCACGCGGTTAGTGAGGATGAAATTAAGAAGCTGGGAATAATGTATCTCTAGAGCTAAAGGGAATGCTGTACATAATCTCAAGAAATAGTAGAATGCTGGTGTATCTGAAACAAGCATTTAGCATTTATCATCACCATCTCAGTAGAAGGAGCTTCTCACCCGCACATCTTAAGCCTGATAGACCAATGCCAATGATGACAGCATTGACGCAGATAAAGAGAACAAAGATTGATATCTCAGATAAACAGTGAGACTGAAGGCAGTGAACAGTAAGCAAGATAAGATGCACTGTACTTAGCATGATAAGTGCTGCTGACAGTAGGGCATATGAGATGGTTAGAATACATTTTGCAAGAAAAAGCAGTCAAGTCAGTCCATTTTGAAATGATTCGTCGCAGAGCAACATCTTGTGGTTTATAGCTATCAGGCAGCCACTCTCTATGCGCCTCCAATGGAGGCTTTTTCAATGGTTGAAGGGGTATGTCATTCTCATTTCAGCAAATGTTGGACAGCAAAAACTTGTCCAGGGCCTGTATGAATAGTTACACTATTTCAGAGTTATGGCCTTCAAATAAGTAAAGTCACTCCTGGTTTGTACAGCAATAGTCGTTAATCCTGTCCTCATTAGGCAAATGGGGTTTCAAAGGGCTATATTTCGAGCTCAATATCACCTTTGTCGGGATTTTAGGCCATTCAGGCGCAGCTGGTTCTTTTGAGGAAAGTTTGATATGATAGTAGACTCCTGATCATAAAGACAGGTTGGAAACTCGCCCCATGGATTGAGATATCCTCTCTCAATGTGATCGAAGCACTTGAGTTTCTTCCCTGGTTCTTGAGACATCCTGCATATCAGCGGTGCTGTGATAGCTTTGAATGATGTCCTCATTGAGCAAAGAGGAGATTTTGCATCTGTTCTCATTTTGACAGGGGGAGGTAAAGCTCGGATGTGGCAGCCGGGATCACGCTCCATCAGTAACTAACCATGCGCCTCCCAGGATTCAAGCATCAATCACCTAGTGTGCTTTGTATCAGGGCATCTATTGGCCAAGCCTTGGAAGCCCCAGTACAATGATTTTGAGTTTTTCTTGACACGGGACCGAATCAGAGAAGCGAAATATGATCACATGACAATACGACGGCAACCGCCGTATTATCACATGATATGGTTATCGAGGCAACTCAAGACATTATCTCTCTCCACGAGCGCTTTGCCCTCCCAATGATCAAAGCTTGAAATCGAAAATATGGAGACTCGCACTCTTTCAGAAATATTACAGAAACTCTCTCCCTCAACAGTTCTTGATTCAGAGGTAAAGTAAGGTTTCTAGATTAGATGCTATTTTCTGACTGTTGCAGCAGGATTTGTTACAGAACTTTCATCAGTTCTTTCTTAAAGAAGCTTCAGAGCAGAGTTGAAAGCTCATTTCACTGCAATACAGGTCTTCAAATAATGCAAATTTTCTTATCTCTCAGTTACCGCTTAACCGTGCCATGCTTACTCACTCTCTGTAGTGAGTGCGCCACAGTGTACAGAAAATCACATTATACAGAAAATATTTTCAATATCTTTATTCTTCATCTTTAAATAATCATCATTAATTATAATCATGTCTAAATCTTTTAATTACACTGAGAAGCAGTTGCAAAGAGCTGTTAACATATATAAAAGCAATTCAAAATTAAAAATCATATCTCTGTTAGACTGACTGTGTGACCGTGTCTGAGATCAGAATCAAACTTTACAGTTGTCATATTGCCTAAAAGCATTACTTCTAATCATAGTTTGTATTCATTACATTGATCTCAAATCATATTATTTCAAATATTAAAGATCTTAGATTCACTTTTCAAATAAAAATCTAGTCTGAATAAAGATATATTTAAATCTTAGTCATATTTTCATTCTGATCTCATTATTGAGAAATGATATTAAATGAGATTATAAAATCACTTCTCACTTACATAATATCATAACATAGTACTCATTTGTTGAAAATTCAAATAGAAAGTATTATTAAATATTATTACTTTTTTAAACACAGATTATAATTTATATAATTTTAATTATAAAAAAAATATAAAATCCAAAAAAAAAATAAAAAAATAAAAAATAAATAAAACAAGAAAAAATCAGAATGAACAAAAAAAAAAAAAAAAAAAAAAGAAAAAGAAAAAAAAAATAAAAGAAAAATAAAAAAATAAAAAATAAAAATAAAAAAAATCAAGATTGCAGAGCTGTAGTATTCTTAAAATACTTACTTCTCAGAGTCTTTATAATGTTTATTATTAACTGTGTATTTCTCACAGTGAGAGTAATATAACTGTGATAAGTTATTATCTTAATATTATCTAATAAATAATCAGTATATATCTGTATAAATGTGAATATTTAGAAAATATACATTTAAAAAGTGTGATCAGAATGAACTCTGCTGTTACTTGAATAATATCAAGAGTAGAATACTGAAATTAATGATTTCTCTCATCAATTTCACAGATAAGATAAGTAAAGATAATCTTAAGAAATATAAGATTCTCTGACTTCTAATAAAAACAGATCTCACAGAGAGACTCTATTTTCATAATATCAGAGACTGAGTATTATTAAAAAGTATTACTTTTATACAATGTATATACACTTACTGTGATAATTTATTCTCTGCATATATAACTGAGAGTTGTAACTTTCTCACACTGCACAGCTCTCTCTGAGATACTGATGTCAGTTTACAACTCACACAGTCTCTCAGTTCAGTACATACTGTATGTATACAGCTCTGTATACTGAGGTTATATTAATTATTATAGTCTGATATAGTACTCAGTTTTCACAGACTATATTTTATTTAAGAAAGAGAGAAGAGAAGACATGACTGTGATTTTATTAAGAGAGAATGAATAATTAATAATATTGAATATAATTTGATTCTTCTGTATTTAAAATTTAATTAGTCTATACTCTTCAATTTAAGAGTTTCTAAGAGTGTTTTAATAGTTTTTATATCAGCTTGAACTTAGTGATGAGTTGAAGAAGAAGAGAAAAGAGAGAAGAAAGAAATAAGAATAACTTATCTTTATAATATGAAAATAGAGAATTGCTGTAATCATTCTTTCTAGTAATAAAAATCTGTTTTCTGCATGTATCTCTGATATAGATTATATAATAACTGTATACAAAGAATATTAACACTGTATGCATTGAATAAAGATAATATTACTATGCAACACTGTAGCTGTTTTCATATATCTCTGAAAGCTGTTAATATTTTCTTTATCTCTTTATATTTAATAAGTCAGTAATATATTTCAATACACTTTCTCTTTCATTATTATCATTATTATCATTATCATTATTATTATTATTATTAATATTATCACTATTATTATCATTATTATTATTATCATCATCATTATTATTATTATTATTATTATATTATTTCTGACTGTCTCTTCTGTCTTCATCTCTCTTCAATGCTCACTGAAATTAATCATGTTATTTCTCTTTAAATATTCTGTGATTCTGTGAATCATCAAGGCATGTGAGCACTGTTACAGATTGAAGAGAGAGAAGAAGAAGACATTTAAGTAAGAGAAGATAGATTATAAGATATATTATAATATCTTAAAGAGACTCTGTAAGAGAGTAGAATAATAATAATTTTAAGTAACACTTCTGATAGATTTAGACTGAACTAAGTATAGAAATAATGTGAATAATACTGCCTGTAAGAGATTGAAGAAGAAGATAGTGAAGAGTCTTATATAGTAGTAGTGAGATCAGAAGAAGTTCTGAGAATGATTTGAGTTCAAGATAAAGAGAGAGAGAGAGAAGAAGAGTATTACTATAAATAAGTAACAGTAGAAGAAGATTAAGAGAGTATTAAAGTAGAAGATAAAGAAGTTAAAACTGATAAGTTTTTTATTTATTAAGAGATAATAATTTTTAATAATACTTCTGTTCTCTAATTAATTAGCAGAAGCTGATAGAGAAGAAGAGAATTAAGATCTTATTCAGATCTTGAATGCACTTCATAATTCAGAATATTAAGAAGACAGTTCTGCTCTCTGAGCATGTCAATCTGCTTATTACTGAGATGAAACCTGAGACAGCAGATCAGAAAATGCAGGATTTTAAGATACAGATTAATCTGACTGAGAGAAAGCAGTGAGAACTCTCTTCTGAGAAGGTAGCAGAGAGAGATTTTGAGATGATTATTATCTCAGATAAGAAGAAGAAGAAGAAGAAGAAAAATGAGAAGTGAATTATAAAGAATAATAAGAAGAATAAGAAAGAGAAGAAGTAGATTTTTTTTTTTTATATTAGTTAATTATAAGTTTAAGTTCATAATTATTAATAATTAAAATTAATTTTGAGTTTTCAAAAATTATTGTACAAGTTGTAATCAAGTCAGAAATGATATATATATATATATATATTTAACTATCATAATTCACAAATCACTATAATATATAAGTATCAACATTTTTTCAACATTGATATTCATAATATTAATATATTTTTAATAATATTATCTGATAATGTAATTTGATAATACTCTCTTTCATAATATTAATATATTTCAAGAAATATAACAGAGATTAATTAAGATTGTTTATTTACTTTTATATATCAATGATATTCAATCTGAGTTAGTACTAAAATTATAACTAAGTTAAGAAACAAGATTATTTTCTCTTATATTAATTCTTCTTACACACATCAGTGATCAGTTATTGAAAATAAATTATTATCTTTCTGAAATTATTATTATATCTTCTGAATTCACTTCTTTCACTTCTTTTACTTCTATTGAAGATCTATAAACTCTTTAAGAAATCACTGTAAATCACAAAGTCTATATTATTTACAATTCAACACAGAATACTCTCTTTTAATTATAGTGAATAACTACTTCATTCTTCATATCTGATTTCAGGTCATGAAATTTATGAAAAACTTAACATAAACACTGAGATGAACTATAAAATAATTATTAACAGATTTATTATAGATTACTGAAGAGTTATCTCTCTACTACAATCACTGTGACTTCATTCAGAAATATTTATTATAAACTGATCATAGTTCTGAAGAAATTTTCTAACATCTGAAGTCATCAGAATATAGATAATAAAAGAAAAATAATCAGAAAATTACTACTGAGCTGATAAGTTACTCTATCAGATAATAATTTTTAATAATACTAACTTTCTAATTTGAAGAAAATCATGTAAAAATAATTATATATTAGTACTCTGATTTTATAACTCTTATCTGATAACTTTTATGAATAATTACTTTATATATATATATCTCTGAATCTTTCTCTTCAATCAATTGAAAACTCTGAATTCTGAACACTTCTTTAAATGCTTAATTCAAATCTTCATATTCTATATCAATTCTATCTTCAGTTCAATTTCAAGATATACTACAAAGTTAATATACAATATCTAGAATTAGAGTTGAAGAATCATTGAAGAGTGTCTCTCACAGTGAATACATGAACTAGTATAAACAATCTTATATTTATAAAAGTTACATATTATTATATTAATGAGAACTGAACTTATTAAGAGATATTAATTGAATTTGAATCATTGATCAGTAGTCATACTGAGAATTATATAATAGAGATATTAATAACTGTGATTAAAAATGACTATTGAGATATTAGTCTCAGTCTTCTTACAATTATAACTGATAATACTGTGAATAACTATACTATAATAAAGAGCTTGAAGTAAAAATTGACTTTGCATTTCTGAAATGATAAATAAGATCATATTCTCTGCATTACTCATATAATTCAACTTATGATATAAATACTGATAAAGAATCTTAATATTGAGATGAAGAATAATGAGATAACTGATTCTTAAGATAAGAATAAGATGAAAGTGATTACTCAAGTAACTTTTATATTCACTTTATAAAAGATAATATTTTTTAA